TTTGCAATTAACTAATAGTTGAGTGGAAGGTTCCAGAACCCCCTTGGAAGGAGGTGGACGAAATTCTTAGGGGAAACCCTAGAGATTTCGTCCAAGGGGTCCAAATAAGGCCTTTGGATCTTGCTTAGGTCCTAAGCAAAAGGATAACTAGGGTTTTCCCTAAACCCTTGATCCCTCAGCTATTTAAGGAGCCTCATGGCTTACATTTGAGGTCACTGATTTCTTTGGAAGAAACCCTAAGGCCGAAATTGCATACTCTCTCCATCCTCTCTCCTCCAAGTTTCCTTCTTGCTAGTTCTTGGGTGTGATTCCATTAGAGGCATTACATTTGTGGTGCTAAGCTTCCAAGAAGATCAAGATCAAGATCAAGATCAAGATCAAGATCAAGAGGATTATCAATTGTTTGCTATAACAATTGAAAGGTATGTAACTCCTAAACCCTAGTTTGTTAATTTCGAAATTAGCCTCTCTCCTCTAGGGTTCTTGTTTTGCAATTCAAAGTTATATGTTCAATAGTTAAAACATAGATCCAAAGTAGGTTGCATGTGAACTTAGGAATTGTTTTCTAGTTTATTTGTTTTACTTAAAACCCATCATATATAACATGGGTCTCCACTAAATACATGGTTCGAAGTGTAGTCTCTGTGACCTTGATCATGTAAAACCAGCATATGCGGTACTTATCTGGGTACTTCCGTGTGTTGAAGACCAAGTCAAAACTGATCAATTGAGAATAATTTGTGTTGAAGTCTTGAAGATGAGTCATAACTGAATTGGATAAGATCTAGGATTAGCCTAACATCACTCCACGTGTTGTTATCTGAATTTCCTATTTTCTAGGTACTTTTTCTAATGTGTTTTTGTATAAGCCCAATAGCGACAGAATAGGTAAAATGATATATAATTCGAAGTCTACCTATTCTTAAAATGAATAGTTCTGGTAGACACATGTCATCATTCATCAAGTAAGCTTTTCATTATAATTTTTCTGTATTTTCTATAGTACCATGTTTAGCACATTCTAGCATAAAAAAGTTGGTAAATTATAACATGTCCATTTCATAGGTTTGATTTTGGAGGGAAAATTAAGAAAAATAAATAAATACAACCCAAACACTAAAATGATAATTGTTTAGCACTAAAATGGTGTTTGAATTCCAAACAACCTCTAAAATGGTGGGTTTTAGAGGTTTTCACATTTGACCTTCATATTTGGTGTTAAAATGGTGCTAAATTTTAAGGTCCATTGGAGTATTATAACCCTTCAAAACACAAAAATGGTGTAATATAGTGTATGGTTAGAGTTGGCCTTAGCACAAGGAATGACTTCAAATTTTTGGGGCTTTTTAGCGAATGTTATAAGATTAAGGTAGGGCCTCTTAATTTTTAATTTTTTTTAGAATTTGATTTTCATTTATGAAAACATTAAGTATTGTGAATATTGACATAAATTTGTATAATTTAAAATTTTATGTTACCATAAATAGGGTAGTTATTACGGTATTAATTATAAACTTTACTTCAATTACATGATCAGGTTTTATAATTTTTTGAGAAAAAAAATGTTTTAGTTCTTAATAAAAACTGGGGTAAATTACACGGATGGTCCCTGTGGTTTGGGGTAATCTGCGCGCCTAGTCCCTGAGCAAGATTTTTAACTCGGATGATCCCTAATGTTAAAATTCGTAACCCGTCTGGTCCCTCATTTAACATTTCGTCTAGTTGCTCCGTTAAAACACCCCACGTGCAAGGCACGCAGAGGCATTTTTGTATTTTTAATATTCTTGAGTTACCGCCATGTTGTATACGAAGAGGCGATCATTTTCTCAGTACTCCATCTTTCCGTTCAGAAAACCCAGACAAAAATTTCACAGTCAAGATAAGAAAACTCTAATCGTGATATCTTCGTCTCTGAAACGCAATGGTGTTGTGGCGTATACGTGCAAATATGGAGGAAATCGATGTTGGGCGTCGTTACTGTAAGTATTCTTTCACTCTCAATCTTCTATAACTTTGATTTTGTTGAAACCTAAGCTGAAGTGGGTTATTTCACAGGGGGGCATCCGACAATCTTTTCCATTAGCTTGTACCATGGTGGAGAGTTCACCAAATTTCCTGGAAGAAAGTACATCAAAGGAAAACAAACGTGTGTGGACTTACTCGACATGGATACTTTCTCAGTGCATGACATTGATGAAATGATGGAACAGTTAGGCTATGTTGATAAAGGTATACCTTTGTACTATCACTTTAAACGACCTTTTTCAGATTTAGATTTCGGGTTATTTGCTTTGGGTAGTGATCAGGATGTGAGACATCTGGGTACCTTCATTTCCAAGCATAAGTTGATTGAAGTCTATATTGAGCATGGAAAAACCCAATTACATACGCACACAATGTCCCCAAATCAATCAAAAATTCAAATAAAGGAAATTATTGAACCTCCAACATGTTCTCGTAGGCTTTTCTTAGATTGGTATGATACTGGGGAAAAAATGTTATTGGGGATGCTTCTAAAGAGGCTAATGTAGTGGACCTCACTGGAAATGACAATATGGACTGAACTGTTATTGATAATGGGGATAATAACAATGAAGAAAATCCATGTGCTGAATTTGAAATTGGGGACAAATTTGAGCACACAAATAAAGTTGAATTTGGGGATGGTAACAAGGATGGAGAAGATCCATGGGCTGAATTTGAAAGTGGGGACAAATTTGAGGACATAAATGAAGATGAATTTGGAAGCGGGGACAAATTTGGGGATGATAGTGGTTATGAATCCAGTGAGTTCGATGACATAGACTTTTATGTTGACAATGACAACATCTTAGATGATGTAGAAGTTGACATGAACGATTTCAATGATAACATTGATATGGATGCAGAGTGGGTTGGAGGTAAGAATGGCAATGTGGTACAAGAAGAGAATGAAGTTGGGGAGCTTAATGAAGTACTAACGAGGTTCTTTTGTCAGGCTCATCTTCGGATGAAGGACCGGTTGCTCAACAAAATAAGACCATCAAAGCTATCCAAAGAGCTCACGAGAATGATGAAGCAAATGTTGCTGAACCATTTTATATCCTTCAAACCTTTAATACACCCCAAGAGTTTAAAGAAAGAGTTAAACTCCATGCTATTGAGACAAGAAGGGAACTTGATTTTGAAAAAATGACAAGAATAGGGTAAGAGTTGTGTGTAGGGGGACAATACCAAAACTAGGAAACTTAGACAATAGTGGGGAAGGTTAACAAGAAGTCAACAATGAAGATGAAGAAAAGTGCCCGTGGAGCCTCTATGCTAGTAAATGGAAACGTGACATAAACTGGATGGTCAAATCTTACAACAAAGAACATCGTTGTCTCCAAATGCGGAATGTTAAAGCTTGTACTTATAAGTTTCTCACCAAACAAATTGCAACTCAGGTGGAATCTAACCCAACTATTCCAATTCGTGATTTACAAGAACAACTACAACGTGAATACCAAGTGGGACTTTCCAAGATGAAGATGTTTATGGCTAGAACTAAAGCTCTCAATCAGGTGCGAGGGGATTATGTTGGCCAGTATGCTTTATTGAGAGATTATGTTCTAGAACTTCAAAAACATAGCCCAGACACGACTGTGAAGATTGATGTAGAGAGTGAACCAAATCCAAATGTAGAAACTAGAACTTTCAAGCGCATATACATCTGTCTTGGTCCTTTAAAAAAGGGATTTGCTGCTGGAAGAAGAGACTTTCTTGGTCTCGATGGTGCTTTTATGAAGGGTCCATACCCAGGACAAATACTTTCAGCTGTGGTAACCTTTTTTCATATGAACTACATTTATATTATAAAAAGTTGTATTTTAGGTTAATTGTGAAATGTTTACTTATGTAGGGAATTGATGGTAATAATGGAACATATCCATTGGCTTATGCTGTTGTGGAATCTGAGGGTACCAACTCATGGACTTGGTTTCTAACTTGTCTAGGGGATGATTTGGGTTTAGGAACCAACTCGAATTTTACATTTATGACAGACAGGCAAAAGGTATTAATTCGAATATCAAAGTAATACATTATATATGATATACTTTTAATACACATTTTCCATGTATAGGGAGTGTTACCTGCTATAGCAAAGTTGTTTCCATGCGCTGAGCATCGTTATTGTCTTCGTCATATCCATGAAAACATGAAAGCTAATTGGAGGGGAAAGCAATTCAAAGACCTGCTATGGGATTGTGCAAAAGCATCTACTGTTCAACAGTTTCAACGATCAATGGAGGAACTTAGAAAACTTAATAATGATGCGTATGAGTGGCTTAAAAACATTCCTCCTCAACATTGGTCTCGTTCACACTTTACAGGTAGATTTTAATGTTAGATCATTAGTTTGTAACAATGACTGATGCATTATTATTGATTTATCAGGTAGAGCTCATACAGATGCTACGCTTAACAGTATGTGTGAATCTCTGAATAGCAAGATTGTTGAAGGTCGTGATGTACCAATCATTACATGTTTGGAGTACATTAGAGAGTACTTGATGAAGAAAATTGTAATTGTGCAAAAGGAAATTGATAAAGCTACAGGCCCCTTGACTCCTACAGCTACCATATGGGTTGGAAAACTGAAGAAAGAGGCTACACAATTAAGGTATGTTTTCTGTGGGAATGGGAAATATCAAGTCAGTAAAAATGTTATGGAACAGTTCGTGGTAGATATGGGCCAACAAACATGTTCATGTAGAAGGTGGGAACTAATAGGGATACCATGTGCACATGCAATAACAACTATGTGGGAGATGTTGAAGAACAAAGAAACTGATAAGATACCAGAACATTGGGTGAATCGAACGTATTGGTTAGAAACATGGAAGAATATGTATTATTTTACAATTCAGCCAATCAATGGAAGGAACATGTGGGAGAAGTCTACATGCCCTACAACCTTACTCCCTCCAAAACACCATGTGCCCATTGGAAGACCAAAGAAAAAAAGAAGGATATCTACCATGGAGGTTGAGGATTTGGTGAAAGGTAACCAATTGTCAAGAGCACAAAAGTCAGTGACATGTTCTAAGTGTAACAAAAGTGGGCATAATGCAAGGACTTGCAAGGGACAGAAGGCTGGTGGTTCTCAAACTTCAAGGAATGTTGGTGGATCACAAACTTCAAGGAATGTTGGTAGTGCTGGAAGTGCAAAAGTGAAGGCTGGTGGATCACAAACTTCAAGGAATGTTGGAAGTGATGGAAGTGCAAGAGTGAAGGCTGGTGGATCACAAACTTCAAGGAATGTTGGTGGTGTTGGAAGTGCAAAAGTGAAGGATGGAAGTGCAAAAGTGAAGGCAGGTGTTAGCAAAAAAGGGAAAGGTGTCCCATAAATGTGGCTTTTAGGTGCTTATGTATTGTTTTGGTTGATGTTGACAAACATTGTCTTATTTTGAACTAGGTTATATGTTGTCAAGGTTGTGTTGATTGCTTTTGAAAAACAATGTTGTAATTATAGTATCTAGTTTTAGCAATGTACTTTGCCTTTGACAAACAATGTAATCTTTTGATTGCTTTTGGCATTACTTTTATTTTGGTCACCTGTTTTGCTCATTTTTTGACAAACAATGTAATCTTTTGATTGCTTTTAACATTGTAGTTTTAGCAATGTCCCAGTATACTTCACAAATTGTAAAATACAATCAAGTTCAACAAAATATCATTTTCATTGATAAAAGGGTACCCTTGATACAAATAAGATTCATTACAATGCATTGTAAACAACTGCAACTACATCAATTGATCTTAAACCTAACACTACAACTTGTAAACAATTATCCCAAAAAAACAAAAACCAACTGATTATTAACAATGTCTTCAGATTCCGATTTTGGACCTCGAGTTCTTGAATTCGGATTTCAAGCCCCTCATTTTTATTTCCGCCTCATGACCATGCTTTTCATCATCTACCCACTTAATAAAGCCATTCATTGGTCCCTGTATTGTCAATGGCTTCGATTAGCACATACACATACTAGGGTTAAAAATAGAAAATCCCCCAAAACAATTCCAGCATCATACCTCTAACGGGCAAGCATAAAATGCCCTACATGGGTTTCTTTTCATAGTTGAAGTCCGTATAACGCCTATCGCACCACAATTGCATTTCACCATTTTTAATCGGCTGGGAGAAGAAAGGTGGGAGGAGAAGACTGCGACTGAGAAAGAAATGATGGAGGAAGACGAATAAATCATGTTTAAAGACTGGGTGATATGAAAAGACAAAAATACCCCCAACGTGCTTATCATGTGGGGGGTTTCTAACCACAAAACAGACGGAATGTTAAGTGAGGGACCAGGTGGGTTACGAATTTTAACATTAGGGATCATCCGAGTTAAAAATCTTGCTCATGGACTAGGCGCGCAGGTTACCCCAAACCACAGGGACCATCCGTGTAATTTACCCTAAAAACTGATATCTAAACGATTTTTTTTATTCAAATAAATGTGACTCGTTGCTCAGTATAAGTATAACAAAATAACTACTAACAAAACCTTGCTCGCATATAAAAGTGACTAAAGTTATAAAATATAGACAATCTTTTTTTGTTTCATAGATAAAATTTGATATAAAAAAATCATGGACACATCATAAATGAAGTCTTACATATGAAAGTATAAATGTTAGTTTGTTATAAATAAAAAGTAATAATAATAAATACAATAAATTCGGACTGTAATATAAAAAAAAAAAGTATTACTTTCTTTAAATTGAGAAAATCCAAATAAAAAATTGTTATTTTTATTTTAAAATACATAAAATAAAAGTTAATTACCAAAACTATCATTCGTTACCACCTCATGATTTCTCTATTCCCAATTGACGAGATATGCCAAGTTTGCCGCAAGGCATGTTTGGACACTTTTGGGGAACATGCGGTTCATTGTAGAGAGCTTACTGGTTTCAAGTACCGACATGATGTGGTTAGGGATGTTCTCTTTGATTCTTGTCGGCGTGCTGGTATTTTTGTGAAGAAAGAAGCGTCAGTGAACTTTTTGACGAACCCGCAGGATGGAAGATCCATACTCAGGCCGGCTGGCATTTTGGTCTTTGGATGGATAGGAGGGAAACACGCTTGTGTGGATCTTACTGGGGTCTCTCCTCTCGTCGATTTGAGGAGCGGGGGTTTCACAGCAGGGCATACCATTTTGAAAGTCATTGCGTGCAAAGTGGCAAAGCACGAGAATGCATGTATAGAAAATCAACATGTGTTTGTACCTTTTGCATTTGATATATTTGGTTTTCTCGTGCCAGAAGCGGTGGAGCTCCTCAACAGAGTCCAACGGGTCATGCATTCTAATGTTATATCTCTTAGATCCTCAAATGTTGTTTTCAAAAGAATTAGTTTTGCCATCCAGAAAGGGCTAGTGGCGCAACTTGTTGCCCGTTTGCCTTCCATCGATATGTATTGAACTATACTTATGTGAAATATGAATATATTTAATTGTAAAAAAAATTACCAAAAATATTTATTAAATCTTTTATGAAGTCTAAATGTTAAGGATGTTTCTAAGAAAATCTCAGGACATATGTGTGTGAGGATCACACACACCTACACACTCACATGGAGGCTTTTTTTTAAGATTCCCTAATGTTAATTACATTTGTTGATGATTGTCAATTTATTTGTAACACCTCAAATTTTAGCCCAAATTTTTTATTTTTTAATTTACCAAAATTAAGGTCTCACAACCAAGTTATCAAATACATAATTATCTCAAAACAACCAGTATCACAAATATCAGAGTTCATAAACTGTCCTAGTAGTAAATCTCCCAGCGAGTGTGTACAACCAGACCTTCGACCTGGCAATTCGTGTATTCATGTCATGAAAACATGTCAGCCACGAATTTGACACGATCGATTACACGATGAGAAATAAGCTTTATCTTAATTTTCAAGATGTATTTGTGTCATGTATTCATGTCGTGGTGTGTCTCTCACAGATTCTTATATTCGTGTCTTGAATTGTCAGGCCTTCCCGCGGTCCTCGGAAGTACCTGCCACATATAAATTAACTAAGCACGAAGTGTAACATCCTAAATTTCAAGACCAAAAATTTCATTTTTAATTAAGTGACTTGTAAAACAATTTACTGAAAAACATCATTGATTCATATCATTTCATAAAACATAGTCATGTGTCTCAAACTAAATCATCAAAATAGTAATAATGTCAGAGTACAATCCCATGGATCTCAAAATGCGGAAATCATATGTGTGCGATGCGCTGCTACCGTGTCGGCTCCTTCCCCTTCGTTGAAGAGGTACCTGAAACAAAAGTGAAAATTGTAAGTACGAAGCTTAGTGAGTTCCCCCATCATACCACATACCATACTATAAACATACTGTCAGGCATATCTAGGTGCCCGACCTACCCTGCTAGGCATACCGGGGTGCCTAACCTACCCCTGTCAGACATACCGGGGGTGCCCGACCTACCCCTCCGGTTTATCTCAACCCGTTACGGGGACTATTTCACCCCTACTACTACCGCATAATATCACAACATAATCATACTGTCTAGCATAGTTGGGTACTAAACTACCCCTTTGGCCCTATCGACCGGTAACCGGGGACTATCCCCCCTACTACCACTATCACATAACATCATATCATACTAGCATGTAAAACACATCAGATAGTGGCAAACCCAAGTAATTATCACAAAGACAACTACTCGACAAACAATCCCTACTAGTGGGCCGGCATTGTGGCCGTAGACCCACTTCTACTGGAAGGTAACTCACATCGTAAAGCTGAGTGTCGAATCTCACAGGAAGTAATCTCTAACAGCTGCTCCGCTGACTCTCGGCTATCATAATCATAATAACACTTAATCAGAATCCATAACACTACTTAGGGTAAAATGATCATTTTACCCCCTTGGCCTAACTTGAACCATTCCTAAGGCCCAATTCTAACTTATTAAACCCAATACACCCATGGTCCATCAAAGGCTCCCTAAGGCCCACTAATGGCCTAATTTTCTAAATTGGGCCCAACTCTTCAAATGGGCCTTTTCACAAGTCCAATAAATCCTTAGCCCAAAATGAATAATCTCGAGTGGCCCAATACTTCTAATTCCAAATTCCCAGGCCCAGAACTATACTCCACAATGGGCCACAGGGCTCAATAGTCCAGGCCCAGCCCTCTAAGGCCCAAAAGCCTAATGTATCCACTCTGCATGCGTACGCGCGGCGTACCTGGCACGTACGCCCAGCGTATGCTGGCCTTGACCGCAAACGGGGAGTTGACCCAGTACGCGCAGCGTACCAGGGTGTACGCTTAGCGTACTGGCCAGCTTTCTTGGGACCTTATTTGTGACTTAATCCATTAAGTCTTCACGTCCAAAATATAGATCCAGGTCCTTTAAGACCTCCTAATCCACAAAGTCACAAACTTTATGTGCTTGCATGCATGGTTGAGGTCAAAACATGATTTTGGTCCTTTTAACAAGCTTTAAGACCATCAAACACTTGCATGGTTGTGGCTTAACCATCAAGGTCCGATTTTTATGACTCTAAATGCCTCTAAGAGCTCAACAGGACATCTCTTTTGGTCTGAAGCTAACAAGATACAAGCAACCTCAACAATGGAGTCCAAAAGTGACATTAAACACTCATATAAACAAATCTAAGCATGCAATGGTCAAGTTTGGAACTTGATACCTCAAAAGAGTCAAAAATGATGTCAATCTTCTGGATCTACAATCTCCTCTTGAATCCTTGCTCCTTCTTCAAGCTCCTTTCTCTTCCAAAACACCAAAACCACACCAAGATACTCTCAAATGGCTTCCAAATCACAAGAACACACAAATATGGGTTAGGGTTTTCGAGGTGGCTGCTTAAGGGTGATAGGGAGGCTGGTCCAAGGACATAAGGTCCTTTAAATAGGGATCAAACCCTAAAAGTTAGGGTTTTAGACTCTACGTGCGTACGCTGCGTACCCTTTGGTACGCTGGGCGTACGTGCATGGCTTCCGCGTTCCAATTCCTTGAGTACGCTGAGCGTACATGGCAAGGTACTCCCCGCGTACGTGCTTCCTCAGCCCAAACACAAAGGCCCAAAGGTCCAAGCTCAAACTTTATCAAGCTAATAACCTTAAATAAATACAAGATTAGTACCTTATAAATCTCGGATATTACATGAAGCTTAGTGAGTTCCCCAAGATACCACATACAGCTCAGCATAAATAAACAACTATAGATTATCAGCAACCCTGTGGACTATCAGCAGTCCCAGTAGGCTAACAGTACGTCATGTAGGTTATCAGCAACCCTGGAGACTATCAACAGTCTCAGTCACATATAAACAACATAACATATTCATAACAGCTAGACCCAACTGGTCATTAGAGATACAACTATTCTACCACACTGGTGACAATAAGTGAGGAGACTCACCTGATACTGACGACAAGTAAATCTCACACCCAAACTGTCGGATCTAGACTCTGCCTAATCAACAAAATAATTAACCCTAATTATAAGGTCCAAAACTCACTCGCGAGTCCAAATCCCACAACTAAATCTTCTAAGGGCAAAAAGACTATTTATCCTTTCTCGTGGTCCAAAACCCTAAATCTTGATCAAATGTCAAAAGTCAACAAAAGTCAACTGCCCAACGAGTACGCTAGGCGTACCACTTCTTACGTGGGGTGTACAACGAAATCAAAATCCATTGGGGGCGGAACCGGCTATGCGGGGCGTAGCCAGGAGTACGCCTGCCGTACTCTGTCTGCCTCTACTTCCACCAACTTAGTGTCTTAATCCCTTAAGACAACTAACCCAACCTCATATCTGACTATTCTAAGATGTCTTAACCCATAAAGTCATTGGCTTTAAGCCTTTGCATGGCTAGGAAGGACCCAATACAACAATCTTTAGCTTCTAACACAATTTAAGCTACTTTACTCATGCATGAGCCAAAGGGAATGATCAAGCAACCATTTTTATGAATCTATAGGTCCTAAAATGCATGAAAGGACAACTACAATTTCTTGGAGTGCTCCAAACTCATAAAGGTCCAATCTTGGGGACAAAACTTCATGAAACTTCAACCATAAAGATCTAATGAAAAGCTTTCCAAGGTATAGATTTTATACGTGGAAATGATGCACAAAGAGGAAAGGTTTCTGGATCTACAAGCTTGCTAGTACCCACTCCTTCTTCTCTAGTCTCCTTCTTCCACTACAAGCACCAAGAACACTCAAAAACTTGCAAAAATTCACACAAGCAATTGAACTCGGGATTAGGGTTTTAAGGAGGGTTTGGTGGCTGATAAGGATGATTAAATGGGGACATCATGTTCTTTAAATAGGGAGCAACCCTTAAAATTAGGGTTTGAAGACTGGACTAGTACACCCGACGTACCACACGTACGCCCAATGTACTAGCTGATCATCCGCGTTCCTAAGTTGCATGAATACGCTGCGCGTACTCTTACATACACCCTGCGTACGACCAAAATCGCAAGCCTTTTTTCTCCAAGGGACCAAATGAGTCACTTTTATAAAAATTACAAGAAATAATAGAAGTACCTGATATCGGGAAATATGCAAGCGACACATCATCACCCTTCCTGCCAACCCTTGATTGAAACCCTTAAGAATTTAACAAACCGAAGCTTGGAATAAATCTGTTATTTTAAGTATACTTCAGGGACCGAACTTGTAATTTACCCTTAGGAGACGCCTTTCGTCCAAATAACGGTCTACTTTCAGGAGATGCACCGGAAACCTCCTCGTCTTTTCCTTATCTTCCGATAGATGCGGCCACAACCGATTTCCCTCCCTCTGAATACAATTACAAGTTCAAACCGCCATTTCACTATGCAACTTCTTCTTCTACTCAATATCCTTCAATTCTTCGGAAAACATCCTCGACCATGGCTGCTCAGTGGCTCTTCTGCAACGCTCTCATTGCCCTCCTCGTCCTCTTCATTGCTCCTCCTGTATCAAAATCAGGTTGATCTATGTCATACGCACTCACTCATGAATATATCTATGGCCTCCTCATTGCATATAAAATAGCGTAATCCGTTTATATTCAATTTCAATACGGTGATAGGGGAAAAACAAATTGAACACAACAAAATTTTCTAGGCATAGAATTCAAAAGATCTATGTGAAATTCGAATTAGGAACTAGGTTTGGATCTTCTAATGCAGTTACATTGTTCATGGAATGAAAGCACACTCTGGAACCAGATGAAACACTAACTAATCAAAAGCTAATTCAGAGAAGTGAAGCAACAACATGCGATTATCGTTCTCATACAATGGAAATAATGGATCTATTACAGGGAGAGCACCTCCTTTATAGACGAGTATGCTACTAACAGTATTGGAAGTATACCCCACAACTCTTAACTAACTAAGCAACTAAACTATTTAGAACAGGCTACTACTAACACAAGTCTAAGAATGGATCATATCTGTTCTACATTGTCTAATTTGCTGTACATTGTGTTGCAGATGATAGGTCAACACCGTCACCAGGTTTTGCTTATAGTTGGATGGATGATGATGATGAATTTTACCCAGGTGATATTGCAACGATTAAGGTTAAAATATTGGGGAATTACAACAGTGAGGAATACAAATACCCTTTTAATCCGAACATCACAGTGAATGGCTCAATGGGGAACAGTAGTTATGTTACCGATGTGCATTCCGATTTTGGCAATGACACGAACAATTGGTGGATTCTTTTTAAGCCAATCATGGTTGGATTTTTCTACGTGGTTATTGATGATGAACATTTCAGAGTGCATGACAACTCTTTGCATTTCCACGTTTCACCAGGTTTTTGTTTTAAATACACTTCTGGTTTTTATACTTGTATGTTAATACATCCGCTTATTTGGTGTACATTTTGTTGCAGCTGAGTCGTATATACCTCCTCATTTTATGTTTCGTTGGCTGAATTCTAAGAGTGAGTTTCAGGCAGGTGATACTGCAACTATTCAGGTTATAGTATCTGAGAATTTCAACACTAAGACATACAAATACCCTTTTAAACCCAACATCATAGTGAGTGACTACAATGGAAAGAATGAGAAGATGGGAAATTGTAGTTACATTACTGGGCTTTTTTCCAATTTGGGCCCTGATATGAACAAATGGGAGTTACATTTTATACCAATTATGGTTGGGACGTTCCACGTGCTTATCACTCAAGAAAATCTCAATGTGTTTGACACCTCTATGTCTTTCAATGTTACACCAGGTTTTTGTTTCGAATAAAGTTATGGTTTTTGCTCAATTTCCTTATCCTATGTTGTTATTGATAATGATACAATGTTTTTTTTTTTTTTTAACTAAAGGTAAAATTTATAAACCTGGTGGGATTGTGTCATGGATGGGTGGAGTCAATCATTTTGCATTTGAGGCAAAAGCTGAACTCTTGATATTTCCTAAAGATGCATTTGGGAACAATCTTACATATATAAGTGAAAATTTTAAAATTTACTTTTTTGATTTATCTGTTACAAATGCAAAAGGTGAGGATGCATATTTTCGGAATTTGCAGCAGAGCGGATGGAGTAGATTTGGTGGTTTTGAGGTTTGGTTTATTGCAGCCACATCAGGAAATCTCTTACTTCACGTAAAAGATAAAAACCAACACTTGATTGGATCCCCATTGACTTTCACGGTTGACCATGGACCACTTGATGTTGGTAACTGTTTGCCACATTGGAGCACTGAATCAAAATCTTTTCAGATCTTTTCCACTATGGAAACATTTATAACTCAACGAGATAAATTTGGGAACCTTATTCCAGAATTTTATCCATTTGATTTTGATGTTATTGGTATGAAGGAAAATTTGTCTTTGCCAATTGGTGATGTGCAATATCAGGAAGTAGCTCCAGGTGTTCAATCGTTATCTTTCAAATTACTTATAGATGGGGAGTTTACACTCATCATTACAGATAAGGATAAGAAGCAACAGATCAAGAACATGCCACACGAATATAGGGTCTATGTTGGTGAGTTTTGTTTTTCTTTTATTTTTTGTCATTTTACTGTATTTTGTTAAAATGGTGATGGTTTGAATATGGTAGGAGACTCTTGAATAGGGTATTGTGATGGAATGAAGAGTATTGTTAATGGATCTGGTTTACAAAACTCTGTTGCTGGAGAAGTTTCAAAATTTTCTATCTTCTTAAGGGATATTTATGACTATCCTTCACCATTTGACTTGCTTAAAATTCGAGTAGAAATCACATTGCCTTCACTCTCGCTTGATGTGGATCCACACATAAATCCAGTGGATCCTCACAATGGTATAGGTTTTTTTTTTTCTCTCTTTCAAAATTTATATTTTTATATATAGATTAACGAAAACATTCAGAGATGTAACAGGTGAGAATGAGGAATGGCAAACATGGAATAGTGACTTTGAGGTTGTTTATATACCTGAAAAGAGTGGGATGTATGAGATTCATGTATATTGTGGCAACATTCCATTGAATGGAGGAAATCCATTCACAAAGTTTGTAAGTGCAGGTATTACTGAAAACCTATCAATTGCAACATTTGTTTGATTAGGTGTTTGGATTATGATAACATAATATACTATGTTCCTTAATTTGATGCAGGCAAGGTCAATGCATCTGTATCAAGAGTTGTAAAATATGAAGCAAGAGTATCAAAAACGGTTTTACATAGTGTAGATGTGCAACTGATGGATTCTTTTTCTAATCCAGTCTTGTTAAAAGCATCAGAATTGTCCAAATTGACACTGGATCCTGATTCAATCAACAGATCATTTTTCATGGTTGTAATGTTTGTAGACAACAGGGATGGGACATACACTGGCTTCTACATGCCAATGATTCTTGGAACATACAAGATATGTGCTTCATTTGAAGGAAAGAGTATCCCCCCATGTCCCTTTGAGGTGACTACTTACAACAGTAAGTTTAAATTAGGAATTTTGAAAATTTAAATACAAATTTTGAATGTGCGTCCTTTTGTGTCCATATGACCTATAACTTTTTTGTTCTTCAGGGGAGGACTTTCCTATCGCTTATGGTCTTGATGTCTCTGTTTGGGAGGATGAATCCATAGTTTTTAATGTTCTAGTAAACGATTACTTTGTTGGTGGAAAGGCAAAAGTTCTTGAATATCAACAGGTATGATTTATTGTTATACTATGTAGTTTTTGATTAAACATCCATCATCATAATTGTTTTTACTGTTTGAAAGGAAAAAAACAAAATATTATTATTGAATTTATTATATTTTGTGTTGGCAGCCAGGTCATGGTTCACTTTTGCAGGATGGAGATCTGTTTATATACACTCCATTTAAGAGATTTTATGGAAATGATTCATTTCCATACTCAATGTCAGATGCAAATGGCAACATTGCTTCTTCTCATGTAAACATATTTGTCATCTGTATTCCCCCACAGTTTGTTTCTTTTCCACCTCAATTGCAGGCAGATGAAGATACCTTCAGTCCTAAATTTGGGTAAGGTGTTAGACGTGTATTACAACTTACTAAAATACCATTTTACCCTTGCATTCTGAAAAACAAATTCACAATATTCATCAATTGTAACATGAGATGAGTTGGGAGGAAAAAAAAAGGAGTAAATGGGTAAAAGGCTTGTGTCTTGATACATTAAGCCAGACCTTTTTAGTCATTCTTTCCAGATTATGTTCTTAGCCCATTAAGCCCATTTAGTCAAAAAGAAACAACCTCTCATTATTTGGTAAATTCTTATATTATATGGTTGTTTCTTTTCACAGTGGTTATTCAGGCTTTGAGATCACATATTCAGATTCAACAGAGAACATCTCTATTATGTTCACTGCACAACATGGATCATTCTTTCTCTCTCCTCTACTTATGCAACTTTGGGATCCCATGTGGAATGAGATTTCAGTCACTAAAATGGAAGGAAGGTCTAAAGAATTGATTATAAGAGGTCGTTTGGAAGTTATTAATTTTGCCATCAAATCACTCAAATACATCGGGTACTCAAAATTCAACCAATTTTTCACTACTATCCCTTTACTTTTGAGTTTTAACCTCTTAATATTATATGATATTTATAAATCAGGGAGGGGAACTTCAGTGGTAAAGATACTCTTAAGGTTACCACCATGAATAAGCATGGGAAGCATGATTGGGATATTCCAATAATTGTCAACCCAAGAAATGATCCTCCGTTTATTAATGTCCCTGAGTTCATCATGTTGGAGAATGTGACAGAAGATGAAGGTTTCTTGATCTTTGATAGACAACGAGACAATGTTAGCTTCTCTATTGGGGATCCAGATCATCTTCACTTTACAGGTATTGTAAAAACAGTTTACTTTCATTTCTCTGTATTACAGTTTACAACACTGCACTTTTCATATATTTTCTTATTAAGACATTGTACTTTGAAAAATCTATGAGGTTATAGCACTTTATGTCCACTTTTTTCTTATTAGGAGACTATAGTTTGAAAAATCTATTGAATTGGAAGAAATATACAATTAACAAAAAAACCTGAAAGTATATTGCTATTTGTTGAAAATGCAGGAAATAAGAGTCACTTCCGCGTGATGTTTTCTGTGGAAGTTAGTTCTGGATATTTCTCAGCAAACCTTCCAGCTGAGCTTACAAGCACAACTGAATTAAAGTTAAAGAATAGCAACAGCAATCAGTGGCAACCCCTTCTTACATTTATTGAAATCTCAAGACGTTTTTCCCTCAAAGCAAAAGCCATTAGATTCAGGGGAACAATTGAAGATTGCAACACTCTCCTCCAACAAATCCTTTATCATGTGAGTTTTATATATATATATTTTTTTTAAGAAATTGCAACATACTTTCATTTACTTGTTTACTACACCATCTTACTTTCATTACTTTATATCACAACACCCTACTTCAAAATAAAATAAAAAACTTATTTATTTATTGTACTTTCATTTTTTGTTCTAATTAGGACAGTGTTCTTTTAAAAATCTACCTAATCATAGCAGTGAAGAATCTTTTTGGGTTTGATATGACTTTGCTATAATTAGGTAGATTTTTCAAAGTATAATGTCCTATCTATAAAAAAAAGTTGAAAGTACAATGTCATAATAGGTTAGAATTTAAACATACAATGTCCTAAACCCTTGACTGACTGAATGTCTGTAAGTACAAATAAAATACAGGGTGATGAGGATGGTGGGGTGCTTACAGTGAGTGTGAATGATATGGGGTGGTATGGATGTTATCCAGAAGATTGTCAACAGATGATGTCAGCGCCTCTTATTTCTGAGGCCACCATCAACTTGATAAGAAAGATGCCTGTGGATCCGGTGGTAGCTCACTGTAAGTTACATCTATGTAATCATATTTATGCTACTACTTTTTGCTACTAATCCAAGAGGGAATGGAATTGAGCATTCCGATTCCTTCGTCCAATGGGGAGGGGTGTTTTTTTTGTTCACTCTTTGATGAAATGGAATGATATATTATAATTATAAGTTACATTATGTTGATTCCATTCTCTTGTCCAATGGGGAGGGGTGTTATGTATCTTATTGAGTTATTTCTGTAAACACTTTTTTATAAGTGATGAACTTCATTCCATTTCCTCAAGCCAACCAAACATGATAATGGAATGTAATGATCTATTCCATTATGTTGATTCCATTCTCTTGTGATTCCATAGATAACTGTTAATTATTTCATTACATAATGTACAGCTCTTATGTCAGCGATTGTGATCGAAGCCATTATACTCACATTATTGGTTGCGTTACTAATATTTTTCACATGTAAATGTGTATTTGTCCTCCTACACAAAAAGATCAAAAATCAACCTCAACCTCAATCTCAAAATTTACACCACATGGTAAATTTTATAACATTATATATTTTTGTTATCGTCCTATTTATTATTTTAAATAATTTATAATCACTTCCAAACTCATGTGCAGTCAAGTACAAAAGACTCATCTGAGAATATAACTGGACAGCCTTCTGGCTTATCTAAACGGTAAGTATATATTTCTTAAATGTGTTCATGGTGTGGGCTTTATTTATTTGTTAAGAAATGACAAACATTATTTAATAAATATTTTATTGTTGATGTTGACATAACAGGCTGCATGAGGAATCAAAATTGGGCTAAGTGTTGATTCTCACACATCAAGCCCATCTGGAGCAAATTAATGGAACTCTATCTGTAAATGCCTCTTCATTAGTTAAAATCCTTCACTAGGTCAATAACCGTATTTTTCCAACTTCTTTTGGTATGTATGTATGTATATAGTCTTTAAATCAGTTAATTGTGGAGATATTGATTTCAAATCCTTGGTTTGGAAACATATGTGTAACATCTTACACATAGCTCCTTGTTAACACTTCCGTATATTAAAACGTGTTTATTTTTTTATGTAATTACTTCTATATAAGATCGATGAGGTTCATGTGTGTAATGACATCCCTTATGACATAGGAATTATTCCATGCTTGTAATTCTCTATTCTGAACCCATTAAACTTTGTTTATGTAAGTACTTTCACTAAGTCCTATTAGTTTTCTCAATATAAATTTATGTCTTGAATCCTAAGATATAGACGAAAAGGTTTCATCATCATCATGGGTTTCTTTGAATCCTTTTGCTACAAGACATGCTTTATAGATCCATTTTCACTCAATAGTCATATATTTTGACATATTAACTAAGTCCTAAACTTTATTATTGCACATGGATTGCATCTTGGAATATATTGTGTCGATCTATTTTTTAGAATCTAACTCTGATTGGCTTGTTGGTAGTTAGCAGACTCATCTTGAATAATTGCTATTCCTTCATCATTCCTAACAAGAAATCCATAGCTCTCATTTCTTAAAGTCTACAACTATCCGTAATGGCGATAACCTATTTTTCCAAAAAAAAAAAAAAAAAAGTTTCGGATCAAGCTAGAAACACTTTGTTTAAGACGGATTCTATCAGTACTATGGTTTGTTTTCTTTAGGAATTAGGATATCTAAAAATATACATTTTTCGGATTGTACGCCTAGCTTGTCATTTTTGCCTAACATTAGGCATCGGCTACCACATTAGCTTTGCCAGGATGATACAAAATCTCACAGTCATAGTCTTTCACTACATCCAACCACCTCCTCTGTCTCATATTCAGGTTGGGCTGATCCATAAGGTACTTCAGGCTCTTATGGTCCGTGTATATGGTACATCAGACACCATAGAGATAGTGGCGCCAAATCTTAAGGGCGAATACCACCGCCCCCAGCTCCAAATCATGGGTGGGATATCTCGTCTCGTGAGGCTTCAGTTGCCTCGATGCATATGCTATCACGTGCCCCCTCTGCATCAACACGGCATCCAACCCGGAAATGGATGCATCACAGTAGACTACGAAGTCCTCTACTCCCTCCGGAAGGGTTAACATTGGAGCTTCGCACAATCTCTGGCGAAGAGTCTCAAATGAGGCCTGCTGCTCGGGCCCCCAGACAAAAGTAACACCCTTCCTGGTCAACCTGGTGAGAGGAACGACAATCTTGGAGAAATCTCTGATAAACCTTCGATAGTAACCTGCCAAACCCAGAAAACTCCTGATCTCGGATGGGGATCTCGGCACCTCCCAATGCATAACTTCCTCAATCTTGGCCGAGTCGACCAAAATCTCATTCTGATTAACGAGGTGTCCCAAGAGCTGGACCTCTCGTAACCAGAAATCACACTTGGAGAATTTGGCATAAAGCCTCTCCATCCTCAATACTCCAAGAATCTCCCGCAGGTGCTCCTCATGCACACCTGGTTAACACCCTAGACCTCGAGTGTACCAAAATGTCGTCGATGAATACGATCACCGATCGATCCAACATGGGCCTGCACACCTGGTTCATGAGGTCCATGAACGTTGTCGGTGCATTGGTGAGCCCGAAAGGCATCACCACAAACTCGTAGGGCCCATAACGAGTTCGGAAAGTTGTCTTCTGAATGTCCTCCTCACAGACTCTCATCTGATGATAGCCGAATCTCAAATCAATCTTGGAAAACCAAGACGCCCCCTGCAACTGATCCAACACTTCGTCGATCCTCGGTAGTGGATAATGGTTCTTGACCGTCAGCTTGTTCAGCTCCCGGTAATCGATGCACATCTGGTGTGAACCATCCTTTTTCTTGACAAAAAGGATCGGCGCTCCCCATGGTGACTTACTCGGTCTAATAAAACCCTTCCCCAGCAGCTCCTGGAGCTGCGAGGACAACTCCTGCATCTCAGGCGGCACACAGCGATAAGGTGCCTTAGCAATAGGCGCCGCACCCGGAATCAGATCGACCCGAAACTCCACCTGCCTCTCGGGAGGCACACCCGGAAATTCCTCGGGGAAAACATCCGGGAACTCACACACTACCAGAACATCGGAAATAGAACTCGGCCTCTCAGTGGCAACTCGCGTATCCATCACGTACGCTAAAAACCCCATGCATCCTTGCTGTAAACTCTGCCTTGCCCTGGCGGCAGAGCAGAAAGCTGATTCTGATCTGGTTCCCTCGCCATACACAGTAAGTACTCCCCCACCAGGGTCTCGTATGGTCACCATCTGATGCTCACAGTCAATCACGGCTCCAAACCGGCTCAACCAATCTATGCCCACTATGACACAGACATCCCCCATCGCTATCGGCACCAGATCTATCGGGAACTCAACACCGAAGATCTCTAAAACACATCCCCGGAATATATCAGTGGAAAAAATTACATGCTCGTCGGCTATAGAAACCCTCAGTGGTCGACTCAACGCCTCGCGTCTAGCACTAATGTGACGACTAAAGGATAAAGACATGGAAGATTGACTCGCACCCGAGTCAAATAACACCAAGGCAGGCACATAACTCACAAGAAAAGTACATATATGCAACACAGTATAAGCATAACAAATCTCAAAATAACATAAATAAGGAGATACGTACCAACAACAACATCAGGCGTTGCACGGACCTCCTCCGCAGTCAGCTGGAATGCTCTCCCACGAGCCCTTGGAGCATCGACCTTCCCCGGCCGACCATCAGTAACACGTAAGGTTGCAGGAGCAGAAGCCTGGGCTGATCCCTGAGTGAGCTGAGGACACTCGACCTTCCGGTGGCCAGTCTGGTTGCAATGAAAGCAAACCGAAAATCCCTTGGGGTAGTCCCTCGCCATGTGCCCCTCCTTGCCACATTTGTAGCAAATCCCTGCTCGGCAAGATCCCTCATGGCTCTTGCCGCACTTGCCACAAGTGCGACCCTTCTGGCCTCCTGCTCTCGAATCAGCAGACTTAGCCCGCTTTGTCGCCAGTTGCGACTGCACTGGTCTCCTGTCTCTCCCCTGCTGCTCTCCCTCTTCTCTGGTCTGAATCTCCAGCTCAATATCTCTCCTCTTGGAATTGGTCTACAAATCAGCCAATGACCGATATGATGAGTTCTCCACGAACTCCTGTATATCTCTCCTCAAGATGCTTAAATACCGGCTCACACGTGCCTGCTCAGTAGACACGTGCTCAGGGCAGAACAACGCCCGCTCATGGAACATCCTCGTAATCTATGTCACTGATTATGTCTTCTACTTGAGAGACAGAAACTCATGTGTCAAATGTTCCTTATCCGCCTGGGGAACATGTTCATCTCTGAACAACTTTGGTAAACCTCTCCCAAGTAACTGCAGCATGATCTGTAGGAGTAAAATCAGTCGTCACGAACTTCCACCAGTCCTTCGCTCCCAAGCGAAGCTGGTTCATTGCAAACCGAACTCTTAAGTGCTTCGGACACGAACACATATAGAAACACCCCTCAATGCCGGAGATCCTTCTCATGGCAACAATCGAGTCCTGGGTCCCGCCAAACTCTGGTGGCTTCGTGTTGCTGAACTCCCCGAAACAATAATGAGTCACCCCATCGTGGCCTCGCAGCAGCTACGACTGCGGTGGCTGCAGCAGCAGCAGCCTCTGTGACAGCAGCATATCGCTCATCAAATGTCTCAATCAGCGTGGTCTTAATAGACCCGAACATCTCTGGTATGGCCTCTCTGATAGCTGCGGCCACCTCCTCATGAATGATCATGCGGATCTCCTCGTCACTGGTACCACTGCTCCCGGGGTTGTTGCGGGTAATCACCATAGTGCCTCTGAAACACAAACATGAAAATTATCAGAGACTAGTTCAAGCACTCACGCCATTACCCATCCCTACATGCTCCTTAGTATCCTAAGGTTCTTACTTAGGTCGCATACAAATCCGGTGCTTTCAGTAGTACGGGCCCAATACTACCTTCCACACCAACCTGTAGTCGTCCCAAGTCCTCCTCCTAGGATCCTAATTCACAAGTACTCTATCCCTCACGAATATCAAACTACTCCCTCAGTAGATTCCTCAATGCTCATCTAGGTATCTCTCCTAGATTACTCCAAACTCTCTCTAAAGAAAATTCCTGCTAAGTATCCCTACTCAACACACACACAGAGCAAATAGCAGATAAGATCAATCAATAGCATTTCCTAGGCTAAGACATCATGAATCAGGCAACTCTAGCTCTAAACCCCTAAAATACCTATCCTATCCTCTAGCATGCAACTCTAATATCTCATAAGTATCTCATAATATAATCAAGTAATGGTATTTTGGGAAATCACCGTTCGGTCTCTGGCTGATTGTACACACTGCTTCATTTCGTTTTCTCTTAAAAACTCTTACTCGTTCTTAGAAAAAAATCATTTCTTTTTAGAAATTTTTTCTCAATTCATCAGTTTGAGTCCAGACATACCTGAGAGTACATCTGAATCCCTCAAACCAAGGCTCTGATACCAACTTGTAACACTCTAAATTTTCAAACAAAATTTTCATTTTTAAAATCGCATAAAACCCAATATCACATTTCTCAAAAACCCAAATGTATAAATTATTCAAAACACAAGACCACAAAATGTTTGATAATATCCCAGAATCATCAAAACATAATCTCAAGCTGGTGTGTACAATCAAACCGGTGCCTTCCCGTGATCCTAAGAGGTACCTGAAACACATATCACACAACATTGTAAGCACAAAGCTTAACGAGTTCCCCAAAATACCATGTACAAATAATTAGCCTCTCATGGCTAAATCTCAATAAGGACCCTCCTGTCATGTGTCTCAGTGAGGACCCTCTGGTCTCACAGCTCGGGTCGGACCCTCCAGTCCGGTATCTCAGTGAAGACCTTCCGGTCTCACAACTCGGTTTGGACCCACCGGTCCTAACTCAATAAAGCACAGAAATAATATACATTATAAATCACAAAGAAAAAATGCATGATATCACAACTCGGCATAAGCACATAAGACCCTCCGGTCAATAACTCAAATAAGACCCTCCGGTCAATAACTCACATAAGACCCTCCGGTCACACAATATTACCACTCAGGTAAGTATAGTGGGAAGACTCATCTCGTAAGCAAATCAAGTTTGTCTCGTACTCAACGATCGGTCTCGACTCCGCCTACATATGTCATAATCATCTCTAACTAACACTTATAACAACAACTCTAAAGATGTTAAGCTAACCCCTTCACTAACTCTTGGAAAGGGTGAAAAGACCATTTTACCCCTCCATGGCCTCCATATCCATAACTTGACCAAACCCTAAAAGTCAACGGAAGTCAACACTCGAGTCAACAGTCCCTGTTGACCCAACTCGTCGAGTGCATCTATGCGACTCGTCGAGTTCCTCCTGTTCTTAGAAAATCGGGAAAACTCCAACTCACCTCGCCGAGTTGTCTCATCAACTCGTCGAGTTTACATACATCCAGAATATTGGGGAAAACCCTAACCGACTCGTCGAGTTGACTCATGCACTCGTCGAGTCAATTTAGTCTATTTTCTCATTCAGACGTTTTTAAGCAGAACTAAAGCCCCATACTCTAGATCTAGCCTTCCAAGGCTGCAGTATCACGTAAAGCTGCAAGCTTTACGTCCATGCATGGCATCTAGGGCTCAAAATGCCAAAACAAGCTCTATAGAGGGTTTAATGCATGAAAGCTGGCCAATATCTTGATAAAGCTTGAATCTTTAGGCCCAAGGGACCTCATACTGTCCAGATCTGAAGTCTCAACTCCATGGCAAGCTCAAACGACTTAAGGACCCAAAGAAAGGATGGAAATGGCCATAAACTCCCTAGTGAAGGGATCTAACCAACCGATGATCAAGGTGATAGCTTTTTACCTCCAAATAGCAGCTAGCACTAAGAGAACACCGGATCCAAGGTCTTCTTCTCGTTCCACACCTTTTGCTCTTCAATCTCCTTCCAAAAATGCACTAGAGCATACAATATTAGCCTTTCTCTCTCTCACAGATGAATACAACTCGATTAGGGTTTCTCTCAGTGTGTCAAAATGATAAGGGAGGCGGAAATGAAGGCTTAAGGTCCTTTAAATAGGGTACAAACCCTGAAAATTAGGGTTTTCACACTCAACACCTACTCGTCGAGTTGGGGTCCTCCAACTCGTCGAGTAGACTCTAAAAATCCTGCGGTTATCTCCATCTCTACTCGGCGAGTTGGGGCCTCCAACTCGTCGAGTCGCCCTGGCAAAATGAGTATAACTTAATTAATTATGATACCTGGGAGTCGGGATGTTACAATATATATATATATATATATATATATATTATATATATATATATAATATATATATATATATATATATATATACACTCAAATTGTTATTAAATATGACAATTAACATATCCTACTTGCAAATACATCAATATATATTAGACATAACAGATCACATGTCTCACATGTCTCAGTTATATTTTCACGTAAAAAATTATTATTTTGATTTTCCTAAGTAAACATGATATGATGATACATAATTCAAATCAAATAAGTCTAAGAGATGGCACCAACCAAACAAACATTAAATAAGTATAGGGGATTACACCAAATAAACATAAGGTGACAGTTCCTGGATGTTGGTTCAACAAACAATCAAATAAACACTTATGTTTGAAATAACTAGATCTATGAGCAAGTTAGAAGCTTTTTACTCACAATGGTCTAGGAATGAAATAACCTTACTGGATCTATAATTGAACCCTTCTTCTATACACTTTTCCACCACTTTGCTCTTCAATATCCAACCTTTCAATGGAGAAGTAAGCTCATAAATGATGTCAAGGTTCAAAAACAAGTAAGATGATGCTAGGGTTTCTTAGGAATGATCTTAAGTGATGGAGGCTGGTTATGAGAGGGTTTCCCATAAGTTAGAACCCTTAAATAGGGCTCAAAACCGAAGAATTAGGGTTTTGATCTGTTGCGGTTACGCCCTGCGTACCATAAATTACGCCATGCGTAGTTCATTAAACCCGCGTCCAAAATTCAGAATGTATAGCTTGGAATAAATCTGTTATTTTAAGTATACTTCAGGGACCGAACTTGTAATTTACCCTTTGGAGACGCCTTTCGTCCAAATAACGGTCTGCTTTCTGGTGATACGCCGGAAACCTCCTCTTCTTTTCCTTATCTTCCGATAGATGCGGCCACAACCGATTTCCCTCCCTCTGAATACAATTACAAGTTCAAACCGCCATTTCACTATGCAACTTCTTCTTCTTCTACTCAAAATCCCTCAATTCTGCGGAAAACATCCTCGACCATGGCTGCTCAGTGGCTCTTCTGCAACGCTCTCATTGCCCTCCTCATCCTCTTCATTGCTCCTCATCTATCAAAATCAGGTTAATCTATGTCATACGCACTCACTCACGAATATATCTATGTCCTCCTCATTGCATATAAAATAGCGTAATCCGTTTATATTTGATTTCAATACGGTGATAGGGAAAAAACAAATTGAACACAACAAATTTTCTAGGCATAGAATTCGAAAAATGTATGTGAAATTCGAATTAGGAACTAGGTTTGGATCTTCTAATGCAGTTACATTGTTCATGGAATGAAAGCACACTCTGGAACAAAATGAAACACTAATTAATCAAAAGCTAATTCAAAGAAGTGAAACAACAACATGTGATTATCGTTCTCATACAATGGAAATAGTGGATCTATTCAAACTCTACAACACAAAACATAACAGGGAGAGCTACCTCTTTTATATAGGAGTATGCTACTAACAATATTGGAACTTGGAAGTTTACCCCACAACTCTTAGTTAACTAAGAAACTAAACTACTTAGAACAAGCTAACACTAACACAAGTCTAAGAATGGATCATATCTGTTCTACATTGTCTTATTTGCTGTACATTGTGTTGCAGATGATAGGTCAACACCGTCACCAGGTTTTGCTTATAGTTGGATGGATGATGATGATGAATTTTACCCAGGTGATATTGCGACAATTAAGGTTAAAATATTGGGGAATTACCAGAGTGAAGAATACAGATACCCTTTTAATCCGAACATCACAGTGAATGGCACAATGGGGAACAGTAGTTATGTTACTGATGTGCATTCGGATTTTGGCAATGACACGAACAATTGGCGGATTCTTTTTAAGCCAATCATGGTTGGATTATTCTACGTGGTTATCGATGAGGAACATTTCAGAGTGCATGACAACTCTTTGCATTTCCATGTTTCACCAGGTTTTTGTTTTAAATACACTTCTGGTTTTTATACTTGTATGTTCATACATCCGCTTATTTGTTGTACATTTTGTTGCAGCTGAGTCGAATATACCTCCTCATTTTATTTTTCGTTGGCTGAATTATAAGAGTGAGTTTAGGGCAGGTGAAATTGCAACTATTCAGGTTATAGTATTTGAGAATTTCAACACTAAGACATACAAATACCCTTTTAATCCCAACATCACATTGAGTGACTACAGTGGAAAGAATGAGAAGATGGGAAATAGTAGTTACATTACAGGGGTTTCTTACACTTTGGGCCCTGATACGAACAAATGGGAGTTACATTTTATGCCAATTATGGTTGGGACGTTCCACGTGCTTATCACTCAAGAAAATCTCAATGTGTTTGACGCCTCTATGTCTTTCAGTGTTACACCAGGTTTTTGTTTCGAAAAAAGTTATGGTTTTTGCTCAATTTTCTTATCCTTTGTTGTTATTGATAATGATACAATCGTTTTTTCTTTTTAAAACTAAAGCTTTCATTTATAAACCTGCTGGGACTGTGTCATGGAGAGGTGAATGCAATCATTTTGTAGCTGGGACAACAGCTAAAATCATGGTACTTCCTAAAGATGCATTTGGGAACAATGCTACACGTAAAAGTGAAGGAAGTAATGTCATTTTTGACATATATGCTACAACTGAAAAAGGTGAGGATGCAAAGGTGTTGGATGTGAGTCAAAATGGATGGAATAGATTTGGTGGTTTATCCACTAACTTTATTGCAGCCACATCAGGAAATCTCTTACTTCACGTAAAAGATAAAAACCAACACTTGATTGGTTCCCCGTTGACTTTCACGGTTGACCCTGGAGCACTTGATGTTGGTAACTGTGTGCCACATTGGGGCATTGAATCAAAATCTTTTCAGATCTTTTCCATAATGGAAACATTTATAACTCAACGAGATAAATATGGGAACCTTATTCCAGGGTTTTATCCATTTGATTTTGATGTTATTGAGAAGGGGAGATATTTGTCTTTGCCTATTGGTGATTTGAAATATCAGGAAGTAGTTCCAGGTGTTCAATCACTATCTTTCAAATTACTTCAACATGGGGAGTTTTCACTCATCATTACAGATAAGGATAAGAAGAAACAGATCTTGAATATGCCATACGAATTTAGCATCTACATTGGTGAGTTTTGTTTTTCTTTTATTTTTTGTTGTTTTACTCTATTTTGTTAAAATGGTGATGGTTTGTATATGGTAGGAGAATCTTGAATAGGGTATTGTGATGGAATGAAGAGTATTGTTAATGGATCTGGTTTACATAACTCTGTTGCTGGAGAAGTTTCAAAATTTTCTATCGTGTTAAGAGATGCTTATCAGTATCCATCACCAATTGAGGTACATAGACTTCGAGTAGAAATCACATTGCCTTCACTCTCACTTCATGTGGATCCACAAATATATCCAATGAATCCTGACAATGGTATAAGTATTTTTTTTATCTCTTTCAAAATTTATATTTTTATATATACATTAACGAAAACATTCAAAGATGTAACAGGTACTCAGTCAACTGGAATGTTCAACTTTGGTGCATTGGAAGTTCCATCTATTTACTTGCATAACAACAAAGTAAGTACTTGTTTATATTGCTCTCAATGCATTTTACATTCTACATATTAATAACATCATAATAATAATGATAATGATGGTTTCTGTTTCTTATATTATAGTCTGATGAGGATTGGAAAACGTGGAATAGTAACTTTGAGGTTGTTTATATACCTGAAAAGAGTGGGGTATATGAGATTCATATATATTGTGGCAACATTCCACTGAATGAAGAAAAGCCATTCACAAAGTTTGTAAGTGCAGGTATTGCTGAAAAACTATTAATTGCAACATTTGTTTAATTAGGATTAGGTGAAGGGTTTAGTTATATTTGGATTATGATAACATAATATACTATGTTCCTTAATTTGATGCAGGCAAGGTCAATGCATCCGTATCAAGAGTTGTAAAATATAAAACAAGAGTCTCAAAAGCGGTTTTACATAGTGTAGATCTGCAACTGATGGATTCTTTTTCTAATCCAGTCTTGTTACAAGAATCAGAATTATCCAAATTAACACTGGAGCCTGATTCAATCAACAAACCATTTTTCATGGTTGTATTGTTTGTAGACAACAGGGATGGGACATACACTGGCTTCTACATGCCGATGAATCTTGGAACTTACAAGATATGTGCTTCATTTGATGGAATGAGTATCTCCCCAAGTCCCTTTGAGGTGACTACTTACAACAGTAAGTTTAATTAGGAGTTGAATATTTAAATAGAAATAGAATATGTGTCCATATGATGTATATTTTTTTTGTTCTTCAGGGGAGGACTTTCCTATAGCTTATGGTCTTGATGTCTCTGTTTGGGAGGACGAATCCATAGTTTTTAATGCTCTAGTAAATGATTACTTTGTTGGTGGAAAGGCAAAAGTCGTTGAATATGAAAGGGTATGATATTTACTATTTAGTTTTTAATTAAACATCGATCATCATAATTGTTTTTAATGTTTGAAAAGTTCAAAATACTACTAGTATTCAGCTGCAATATTATTTCTGAATGAAATATATTTTGTATTGGCAGCCAGGTCATGGTTCACTTTTGCAGTATGGAGATCTGTTTATATACACTCCATTTAAGAGATTTTATGGAAATGATTCATTTCCATACTCAATGTCAGATGCAAATGGCAACATTGCTTCTTCTCATGTAAACATATTTGTCGACTGTATTCCCCCACAGTTTGTTTCTTTTCCACCTCAATTGCAGGCAGATGAAGATACCCTCAGTCCTAAATTTGGGTAAGGTGTTAAACGTATTACAACTTACTAATAAGATAGTGTTGTATGTCTGGATGAAGTGTTGTATATATGAAGTCTTTCTAGAAAAATGAGAGACCATTCTACCCTTACAATCTGAAAAACAAATTCAAAATATTCATTAATTTGAATGTGAGAGGAGTTAGGAGGAAAAAAGAAGAAAGGAGAAAATAGGTATTAAGCCAGACTGTTTTAGTCATTCTTTCCAGATTATGTTCTTAACCCATTAAACCCATTTAGTCAAAAAGAAACAACCTCTAAATGTTGGTTAACATTATTTGGTAAATTCTTATATTATATGGTTGTTTCTTTTCGCAGTGGTTATTCAGGCTTTGAGATCACATATTCAGATTCAACAGAGAACATCTCTATTATGTTCACTGCACAACACGGATCATTCTTTCTCTCTCCTCTACTGATGCAACTTTGGGATCCCATGTGGAAGGAGATTTCAGTCACCAAAAGGGAAGGAAGATCTAAAGAATTGATTATAAGTGGTCGCTTGGAAGTTATCAATTTTGCCATTAAATCACTCAAATACATCGGGTACTCAAAATTCAACCAATTTTTCACTACTATCCCTTTACTTTTGAGTTTTAACCTCTTAATATTATATGATATTTATAAATCAGGGAGGGGAACTTTAGTGGTGAAGATACTCTTAGGGTTACCACCATGAACAAGCATGGAAAGTATGATTTGGATATTCCAGTCATTGTCAACCCAAGAAATGATCCTCCATTTATTAATGTCCCTGAGTTCATCATGATGGAGAATGTGACAGAAGATGAAGGTTTCTTGATCTTTGATAGACAACGAGACAATTTTAACTTTTCTATTGGGGATCCGGATCATGTTCACTTTACAGGTATATTACAGTTTACAGTTTAATGAACCAGAGGTAAAATTGAAAAAAAAAATTGCAAACATTTGGTTTTAATGAACCTAAAATCTGCAAAGGGCTTTCATTTCTTTCTATTACAGTTTACAACACTGCACTTTTCATCTATTTTCTTATTAAGACATTGTACTTTAAAAAATCTACCAGATATTTTGGGTTTTTTTTTCCAGATTAAACCTCAACTTTATTTTTTTCCTAAAAAGAACTTGCATTTTTTCAATTATTCCAATTTTGCCCTTTAGGCAGGTTTTCCAGTTTTAGACAATTTTTTCCGGAAAAACCCTCAACTTTTCTTTCCCAAAAAATCCCGTAGATTTTTACTTTTTTTTTTCAAAAACACATTGTCAAATGTGAGGGTTTTTTCAGAAAACTGAAAATTTCTGAGGGTTTTCCGGGAAAAAAAGTTGAGCTTTTTTTTTCCGGAAAATTACCGGTAAACCTGCTAAAAGGGCCAAATCGAAAAAAATGAAAAAATGCAAGGTCTTGTTTTACGAAAAAATTAAAGTTGAGGTTTAATCCGAAAAATATAGGGTCTTTTATGATATTAACCCTTGAAAAATATACTGAATTATAGCAGTAAAAATTGGCTTGTTCTTTGATGACATGGATATAGTTGGGTTAGTTTTTGAAAGTACAATGCTGTAACTGGAAGAAATATACAATTAACAAAAAAACACTGAAAGTATATTGCTATTTGTTGAAAATGCAGGAAATAAAAGTCACTTTCGTGTGATGTTTTCTGTGGAAGTTAGTTCTGGATATTTCTCAGCAAACCTTCCAGCTGAGCTTACAAGCACAACTGAATTAAAGTTAAAGAATAGCAACAGCAATCAGTGGCAACCCCTTCTTACATTTATTGAAATCTCAAGACGTTTTTCCCTCAAAGCAAAAGCCATTAGATTCAGGGGAACAATTGAAGATTGCAACACTCTCCTCCAACAAATCCTTTATCATGTGAGTTTTATATATATATATTTTTTTTAAGAAATTGCAACATACTTTCATTTACTTGTTTACTACACCATCTTACTTTCATTACTTTATATCACAACACCCTACTTCAAAATAAAATAAAAAACTTATTTATTTATTGTACTTTCATTTTTTGTTCTAATTAGGACAGTGTTCTTTTAAAAATCTACCTAATCATAGCAGTGAAGAATCTTTTTGGGTTTGATATGACTTTGCTATAATTAGGTAGATTTTTCAAAGTATAATGTCCTATCTATAAAAAAAAGTTGAAAGTACAATGTCATAATAGGTTAGAATTTAAACATACAATGTCCTAAACCCTTGACTGACTGAATGTCTGTAAGTACAAATAAAATACAGGGTGATGAGGATGGTGGGGTGCTTACAGTGAGTGTGAATGATATGGGGTGGTATGGATGTTATCCAGAAGATTGTCAACAGATGATGTCAGCGCCTCTTATTTCTGAGGCCACCATCAACTTGATAAGAAAGATGCCTGTGGATCCGGTGGTAGCTCACTGTAAGTTACATCTATGTAATCATATTTATGCTACTACTTTTTGCTACTAATCCAAGAGGGAATGGAATTGAGCATTCCGATTCCTTCGTCCAATGGGGAGGGGTGTTTTTTTTGTTCACTCTTTGATGAAATGGAATGATATATTATAATTATAAGTTACTTTCGTCAATATAATCTTCAATGACAATAATATATTAAAAAGTTTCAAAACTTCAATTAAATTATTTTTTGTTATTTTCTAAAAGTAAGTAAAACTGTTTTTCTGATAGTAGTTTTATTATATAGCTTATTTTTGTGGAAAAAATCAAGTGATAAATGAACTTTTTTTTTTTTTTTAAAAATATTTGAAATAGATATAGTATACATTTCAAAATTCAAACACCGTGAACAATGTATATAGGCAATTTATTTAGCGGTATATCTCATTGGATGAAAGTTTATTTAACATTTTTTGTATTTGATGACATTAATTCCATTTCCTGAAGCTAACCAAACATGGTAAAGGAATATAATGACCCATTTCATTATGTTGTTGATTCCATTCTCTTATGCTTCCTTAGATAGTTATTTAACTGATAATTATTACATTACATGATGTACAGCTCTTATATCAGCGATTGTGATCGAATCCACTATACTCTCATCATTGGTCGCGATACTAATATTTTTCACATATAAATGTGTATTTGCCCTCCTACACAAAAAGTTCAAAGATCAACCTCAACCTCAATCTCAAAATTTTCAGCTTCATAAGCTGCAAAGCTCCCATGAAGACATGGTAAATTTTATAACATCAAATATTTTTGTTATCATCTTATTTATTATTTTAAATAATTTATAATCACTTCCAAACTCATGTGCAGTCAAGTACAAAAGATTCATCTGAGAATATAACTGGACAGCCTTCCGGCTTATCTAATCCGTAAGTATATATTTCTTAAATGTGTTCATGTTGTGGGCCTTATTTATTTGTTAAGAAATGACAAACATTATTTAATAAATATTTTATTGTTGATGTTGACATAACAGGTTGCATGAAGAATCAAAAATTGGGCTAAGTGTTGATTCTCACACATCAAGCCCATCTGGAGCAAATTAATGGAACTCTATCTGTAAATCCCCCCTCATTGGTTAAAATCATTCACTAGGTCAGTAACTGTATTTTTCCAAGTTCTTTTTGTATGTATGTATATAGTCTTTAAATCAGTAAACTGTGGAGATATTGATTTCAGATCCTTGTTTTGGAAGCATATATATATATATATATATATATATATATATATATATATATATGTGTGTGTAACATCTTACACATAGGAATTATTCCATGCTTGTAGTTTTCTATTTTGAACCCTTTCAAAACTTTGTCTTTGTAAATACTTTGACCAAGTCCTATTAGTCGTCTGTATCTAAAATCTAAATCTATATATCATGACTCCTAAGATATATATAAGACCCAAGAATTGTCATTATGCAAGGCCAAGATGTTTTCTATCAGTATTATGTCATCCACATCCACATACAAGATCTATTAGATTATTGTGCTCTAACTGACCTTGTGATCACATGGTTGATCTTCATTCTCAGAAACTCAAACTCTTTGATTTTATAATTAAAATGCATTTTCCAACACATATGTGGTGATAAACATAGTAAAGTTATGGAGTTAAACGATTTCCAGACCCACAATGTATAATTATAAATATTCCCCAACAAGATCCAAGAACAATTAAGTATTCAGTCTCACATTCATCATAAGTAGTACATGGCTGGTTTTAAACGAAGTTCACAGAGATTACACTTTGAACCATGTACTTAGTAGAGACCCATGCTATATAACCTTGAGAATATTCACCTGCTTCCTCATTTGTACGTCTGAAAATCACCGAGTATGTTGCCTTCTCATTCATCTCCCTGAAACTAATCTTGCTGGGATTAACACTAACAGATACTCCTTTTGGTGCAACAACTTTAGCAACATATGATGTATAAGCTTCTCCAACATTTGTCACTGTCCTTGTAAACGTTTGAGATGATCCAAGTTTAACAGAAAATGAAGGATAATTCAACTGGGCTTCTGGTATGCTAGATTTCATTGAACATTTAATCGGCCGATGTGCAATGATCCCAACTTCTTCATCACTATACCCAAGCCCACACAAGTAGGGTATGTAATCATCAGGCTGGATATCATAGATCAATCCAGGATTATTTGCCTTTGATGGGTTAACATGTCCCGCACCCGTAGCAAATAGATCAGCTGGTTGGAGTGTTTCATCTACTATTGGTGTACCTTTGAGATTAACAAGATCTGCAGAAGTCATTATAGCTGACTTTATAGCTGCTGGTGTCCAATAAGGATGAGTAGCTTTCAGCAGTGCTGCAACACCGCTGAGATGTGGGCATGACATTGATGTTCCAGACATCATGTTAAATGGAGATTTTGTGTTGGTGCTTCCTGGAAGTGGGGTTGTCCATGCTGCTAGAATGCTGACACCTGGTCCAATAATGTCTGGTTTCAGAATTCCTGGGCTCACTGTATTCGGACCTCTAGAAGAGAATGAAGCCACAGAAGGAGCTAAAGGGTCTCCAATTATTGTTCCTTTGAACAATATAGCTGCCATTGGTGTAAGTGTTGAGTTGATGTAAGCTTTAATCTCCAGTCCAGCTGTGTAACTCACCTGTGTTGCAGGGAGGACATGTGCATCTGCATCTAGGCTGAATCCCTGTGGCTCTTGGTTCATCAATATCATAGCTCCACCACCTGCATCCTTCACCACTTGTCCTTTCTCTATTCTTGATGTCACACCTCTCTCACACAACACCACTTTTCCCTTCACATCCATACCTTCAAGTGATCCGTTGACACATAACTTTGAATCTTGTTTTTCATTAGCACCAGCGTACACGAGTGGTGAAAGTGTAGAAGAAGGGGAGCCTTTTGGTTGAAATAAAGATTCACCATCAAATTCTTTATTGTTTCCTAGTTTTGCTATGGCTTTGATTTTTCTGTCAGTTGTGCTAGCACCAACTGTTAGAACCCATGGAGCTACATTTGTTGCAGTGCCATTGAATGGACCTGAGTTCCCTGTTGCACAGCTCACAAAGATTCCTTTTTGGATAGCTGCAAATGAAGCTATTGCAATGTTGTCTTGAAAAAAAGGCACGTTTTCCTCTTCTCCAAGTGAAATTGATATCACATCAACTCCATCAGCTACTGCAGCATCAAGCCCGGCTAATATGTCACTCTCTGGGCAATCTGGACCGAAACATACTTTATAAACCGCTAGATGAGCATAGGGTGCCACCCCGACAGCTGTCCCTGCAGCACCACCAAGTGCTTCTGCATTCTTCACAAAACCACCAGCAGCTGTGCTTGCAGTATGTGTCCCATGTCCATCTTCATCTATTGGTGTCTCGACTTTCTTGCTTGTGTTTGAGGCCATGGAAGCGATGTTAAAAGATCTTGCACCTATGAGTTTGTTGTTGCATGTTGAGGCATTGAACTCACACCTTCCTTTCCATTTAGAAGGCGGAGGTGGCATTCCATACTCACTAAATGAAGCATGACCTGGTAGAATTCCACCATCTAATACGCCAATGATACTACCTTTCCCAAAGTTTGAATCCTTCCAAAAACCAGACTCCTGATGCAACCCCAAGAATGTTGGTGTATGAGTCGTCTGAAGCTTTAAAGTTCTTTCTTGATAAGCTGATACAAACCCATCTTTCTTTCTCATGGCTTCAATATCTGCATCAGTGAGTCTTGCTGCAAAACCACTGACAACATTTTGGTATGAGTAAAGTAATGGTTCCTCTTTCTCTGTGGATGCAAGACGAAAGGGAAGAAATGATCGATGATATGCTTTGTGATCTTCATGACTCAGCGTGGATAGAGAAACATCGGGTTTCTTTACATGGATAATGTAAGTTTTTAAGACACTGACACTTGTCTTTTCAGAGTCGATGCCTTGAGCAATCACAAGAGATAATGTAAACAGTAGGATCAAAATTAGGAGTGGGTTGATCGTCATTTCTAACAGGTGTTTACAGATCATGGAGAAGTCAAAAGGAGGTTTAGACTTTGCTATGGTTTTGGCAGAACTTGGTTTAGATATATATAGATTCAAAAAGAGTTTGAGCCATGTGTATTAAGTGCCTAAAAGAGTATATGGTATTGCCACATGTTAAGACATGAATAACCTAATACTGCAAGAATCTTGAACGGCAGAACATATTATGGTCTTAATTTGTTTGAAAAACTTTCTCTACAACATTTTCCATCTGGTCGTTATCATTTCAATATTTCATTACAAAAAATCATAGTATTTTTTTGGTCAAGACAATATTTCCCATATCTTGTAACTATTGAAAACTATATTAGACGCTTAAAAAATAGACAATTTTTTCTAGAACTGTAGATTTAAGCCGATGTTGCACTGTTGATTTGTGGAGCATGATCTCCCCTTTGACCTCATTGTCGCTACAGAGACTAAGCAATGGTCAAAGCCCAAAGCTACAGAGTAGGGCGGCAATTACGGAGTGGTTGTAGGGTGGTTGTGGAGTGTGGCTGCAAGGTAGCCTACAAGGCGTTGTGGTGTACGACATACCGCAATTAAAGTGCTCAATGACAGACTATGTGGTGCTCGATCATTGGGTCTGAGTCCGTGATGACTTTTAAACCCAGTTTACAATCAGTTTTTTAGGTCAACTTGTCTCTATAAATAATTAATATGAATATAACCCTAAACAGAAATCGTGCGTGACAACTATTATTTATGAAATCTCTCTAGTTTGTTTGTGGACGTAGCTCGATTGATTGTGTTTTCTATGTCTATCAAAGTCTTAATATTTACTTTTCATAGGATGATATGTTTTATCCATTATGTTTCCGCTAATGATGCCCTTTCTAATCTGTACTTACCGAAAAAAACTTATTATAAAACTTTCAAACTTCTTATAAATTTATTGAACGGTATTGAATCTAGTTTTAAACATAAGTGTTTTGTTTAAGACAGATAAATAAGCGGCAAAAAGAGCATAACCGTATGGCATATTGGCATGCCAAGGCTTGTTTAACCTTATACTACAAGAATCTTGGAACAATTCAACATATTATATATCATTATGATTTTGTTTATAATATGATTTATTAATTTGTTTATATAATTGGATTCTTGTGTTTATCATGTTTCAATGATTGGTTGATCCTTTCTTCCTTCCTTAATGCAACAGTGTAACAAATTCAATACTTCTTTCATAAAGACCGGAACTAAACGAGAAATCGAATTTTGCCTATCATTTATACATAACTGAATCTGCAATATTTAAGGCTGAGATTCAAACTCACAAATGGTAATTTATGATCAAAAGCCCTAACCAGCTGAATCTCAACATGTCCCACAAAAAAAATGATGATAAGCCAATGTCCTAAAGAGTTAATTGTATTTGCGACTATTCTATATAAATTTGTGACAAAAAGTCCATCTATAAGTCTTTAGTGAAGTTTATTAATGTTAGCTCACAAAAAAAAAAAAAAAATGCATCTTCGGTGACTTTTCTCTAAGCTAACGGCTAAAATACTAAATAACATTTATAAGGCAAGCCAAACAAGCTGATAAGTTAACTTATAAATTAATAATGATTGGTAAAAAAAATAGCTTATAAGCTAAATTGCAAAAATAAAATAACATAAATGGACGTTTAGATATAAAACTAAAAACTAATATTATATACAATTAACAATTAAGGGCATATTTTCAATATTTTTGAAAAAACTGCATAAGTTTATCAAAAGTTATCTCAAGGTAGTTCATAAGATAAAACAAGTTATGTTTGTGGTTTTATCAAAAGTAAATTACAATAACCTAGCTTATAAGTTTTTTTCCCCAAACAAGGTATAAATTGTCTCAATATATGACAAACTTTGACCAATTTAGGATGGAAATTCCTACATTAATTTAACAATGTGAAACTTCATCCATTGGTATTTTCTGTTTATATCTAGTAATTAATTTTCCATTTGGTATTTTCATATGAAATTAGCAACAAAATACACACTGAAGAGTACATACGAACAAATAAATTCATACAAGACAAATTCAATCTGACAACACAAAAGAACTCTTATTTACTTATTTCTTACGAGAACATGGGTATTAACGCATCAACTTGCATATGTTGAACGCCATAAACAGAATTCTATAGTTGAAAAAAAAAAAAAGATCAGCATATCTTGAATGTTGCTCAAGCCTTATACTTTCAATCTCATGTTCCCATTGAATACTGATTTGATTGTATTGTATTCACATAGTTATATTATTGATCAATCATCTTCCTTCAAAAATCCTTGGTAATATTTCTCATCATCAAAAACTCTTCAATAAAAGGCCTGATTATTCTACATTAATCAACATTCCGAACATTTGGATGCTTAGCATTTGCTTCTACACTTCAAGCAAGTAGAAGACCAGGTACAATTTGCATTGTGGTTGTTAGAAGACATGGATTTACTTGCTGCTAAACCAGCTCAATTTCATATAGATCCCAAATACAAGTCGTCAAACTTTAAAGGTGACATTTTAGATGATCGATCACAACTTTGATGCTTAATTGGAAGATTGATTTACCTTACCATTATGTGACCAGATACCACTTATGCAATGCATCATTTTTTTAGTTCAGTCATATGCAAGCTATTATTCATTTGTTAGGTTATTAGAAATCATGTCCCGGTCAAGGTGTTTTTCTCTCTGCAAAATCATCTATTCAACTTAAAGCTTTTAGTGATTTGGATTAGGCAGGTTGTCAAGACACCCGAAGATTTGTGACTTGGTTTTGTGTATTCCTTGGAGACTCTTATTAATTCAAAATCTAAGAAACAAACCATTGTATCTTGATCATCTACCTACCGAGGTTGAATATCTAGCCATTGCAGTTGTTACATGCGAAGTCATATGGCTATGTCATTTGATGCAAGATTTTGGAATTAAGAATGATAACCCAAATGTGATCTTATGTGACAATGAATAAGCAATTCAACTTGCTACATATCTCATATTTCACAAAGGAACCAAGCATATTAAGTTAGATTGTCACTTCATTCATGATAAAATAGTTGATCCAACTATCAATATTCTGCCCATCATACGTCGATTTCAACTGGCTGGTTTTTCACCAAACCACTACCACGAACAAAGATCTTGAGGGAGCATGTTGGATGATACCGTTAAGTTACTTGTTTAACTTAACTCTAGTTGAATTAGTTGACTGGGGTTAGGTGGTGAGTAAATTAAGAAGCTTATGCCAACATTCATCTTCTCCTTTATTTTCTTACTTGCAATAAATATACTTAAAGACCAGACTAAAATAAAGCATTACAATTTTTTAAACACCAAGAATCAATATCCCATGTTGTAAGTATGATCCATGGAGTTCCAAGTAGTATGGAGGAAGAATTGAATATAGGAGTGTGTAGTGAGTGTATTAAGCCACATGGCCTAAAAAGGTGAAAAGGACATTGAAGTCTCATATTCTCTATCACCCACATGGTTCCCCTCTAGGTTTCACTAAGTATAGTAATCTATGAATCGACATGTCCATCTTTTCAATATCACATGCCATGATGCTACCATTTAAACATCTTTTCTGGAATCAATTTACCTGTCATATATAAGAATAAGCAAACATCTAAACATGACGTATTTTAGTGGGACCAAATCTCAAACAAGTCATTTTCCTTTTTTTAAACCATGGATGTTACATATCTTCCAAAAATTAGGTGGCTTTTGGTTCACATAATGTTTGAATAAAATTTGTCAAAAGAATTAAAATGGAGGATTTGTAATCTATCACGGATACGGTTGGTAGAATCTTACGGACAATTTGGCAACCAAACATACTAGGGAATGGAATGGAATGGAATCTCACATTCCAATTCCCATCATAATCTACGAACCAAACATGTGTTCCATCACGTATATGTTTCATTTTATCCATACCACCTTCTAAATCGATTAATGTCATTATTCAACCATGAACTATTTTCATTTTGTTTTTTTAAGTCCCTAATATTTTTCCATCAAACATCTAATGCATTTTCAAATACACCATTGTGATCAATTTTAACTGAGTAAACAGTTTACAAAACTCTGACATGACATTACCATTTACGACTTTTTTATTAAATTTTTGCAAACGTGGATTTTAATAATCTTTTTTCCAATTAAAAGCCTACATAGAGTACCATTTGTATGTGTACCTTTGCCTCCTTGGGTCAAGTCTTTTCCCCAAGAAAAGAATATCGGGTCACCTTCATATGCATGGATATGAAAATGTTGATGCCATGAATGTGAGCAAGTACAATTGTGTGTGCATAAAGCACATACATATATCCTCAAAGGTACATTTTACACGTTACATGTCATCATTCATAGTAGTGAAAATCCAATTGCCAATTATGTAAGAAAAGGAATATTGGACCACATTTTACACTGTTACCTCAGTCATTCATAGCAACCTACTTTGGATTTCATATACTCATATGTTTCAAATTATCAATAATGTAACAAGATTCATGCATTTACATAACCAATTTTAGATTTCACTGCTACTAAAACATACCACATATTTTTAAAATTTCTCTTAAACCATTGAACATATCATTGTACAACACACAACATAAGGAGGTTGGGGTGGGTATAAGTGGAATTTTATGTCTCGTTTTTCTCTCTCCCCCACACCCTATCAAATGTCTCATTATGGTCCCTATATGCATGTGTAACAATGTCAATCTATCCACATACCTAACTATAACTTTTTATAGTTTTTTTAATATATATATATATATATATATATATATATATATATATATATATATATATATATATATATATATATATATATATATATATATATATATAGGATGATGACCTTACATGTGAAGACACTGACAGGTTGCCACTCCAGATTCTGGATTATGGGACCATGTCATCCTTAAACTCACTATATGATATTTATGTATGTTAATTTATGTAATATTAACCACAAAAATAGTTTAGTTAGCCATCATATATACATGGTCAATAAATAATTAAATACAACTAATATATGCACATACTCGTACTATTCATCGAATTGTTGTTCATCTGTAAAATGTCTAAAATAACCTTGGGAACACGAATAATTATAAGTTATATCATTTTTTTAAAATAATGTGAGAGAAGAAGGATGACAACAAGAAGTGATGTAGGGCAGTGATCACAAGTGAGTAAAAGATTTCTAAATTTTAATTAGTGGTTGGTGGATGATATCATTTCTCTTTGTAGACATTAAGCTTTTCAACTTTCCAATTTATAAGTCTGAAGAATGATTATTAAAAAAAGACTTAATATCCCTTATCGCAAATTCTCAAATTGCCTGAAATCTTTGAGACCAAAAAGCATTAAATTTGTTTCTAACAAACTATATATGATTAGATTTGTTAAGACGGGATGTAATTGGATGGTTAGATATCTCATTCATGATCTTTAGATGAATTAAATAAGTAGAAATCGTTTTTTCTACATGGTTTTCATTGATGACATTGACAATTGATTTAACAGCTGTTTTTCATAAGTTGTAACCAAATCCACATGCAAGGTTTTTTATTCCAAGTGTGATAAATAGACTGTTGAAATAACATCAATAAAGTGTTTATGCATGTTTTCATGTGTCAACTTTCTAAAAATCAAATTTCATTTGTAACCATCGATCTTGAAAGTGTCAATGAGTGAAATGGACTTGAACCCAACTCACCATTTCATCACTTTGAGCCATTTATGCTACTTAACAACAAGAAGATGTGATATGTTATCATTATGTAAGTTTAGAAGTGGTTCTTGAAAAAGACTAAACATAAACAAATCCTTATTTTGTGAAATATAATCCTTAAGGTTCACATTCTTCATGCTCTGAAATTGAAGTGTGTCACATGTTGCATTTGGTAAGACAGCAACATAACATGTTAATGAAAGATGATGTCCTAATCTTAGATTATCTAAAGTAGAAGCCTCTAGATTCCCTAAATGCGTGTTAAAAGAATATGGAATCATTAAAAGCTTGCTACCATGTGATGATTAAGATAGCTATGTACTTCCATTTATTTGCTTACTACAGCATCCCTACTTCTGTTTCTTTCTTATACAGCATTATACTTTCTATATTTTTTTTTATTAAAGTTAAAGCATTGTACTTTGAAGAATCCACTAAATCATAGCATTGTACTTTCAGTTTTTAAATAACTACCCAATTATAATAGGAAGTACATTGTTATTTCTTGCATTTAACCCATGTAAGGAAGCTTAAATAAAAAACATTATATCTTGCATTATTTTGATATAAATCTCATTCTCAGCTTCTAAAAGTAGCTGTCCCTTGTTTTCTTGACATCAAAAGCAACCCCACCACCTTTCACCACTATAAAAACATCTCATATTCTTTTTCAACACTGACAACTCTGCTTCATTCCTCTATCTCTCTCCCCTTCACTTTTTATATGTACATGTGTATCTATACATGCATGAAAACATCCATGTCTTGCATCAAATCTTGCATTTTCTTCATATACAAGCAATCAATGCCATACCACACTCAGATCAATCTCATAGTTCCCATGGTATTGTTTTAAGTTTTAACTTTTAAATATAAATGTATAAAGTATAAAGAATCTTACGCTTTTTATGTTATGAATTGTTATAGGTAATGGAGGAAATGAAGATGATGACAACCTTAAGCTTCCCTCTTTTCACCATGGGCTTAGTGGGTTACCTTAAAAACATGATTGCAGTTGCATGCATGGGCAAAATGGGAAGACTTGAGTTAGCAGGTGGAGCATTAGCAATCGGGTTCACAAACATAACCGGTTACTCGGTCCTTTCAGGGCTAGCCATGGGTATGGAACCCCTTTGTAGTCAAGCTTTTGGTTCAAGAAACCTAACCATGGTTAACCTAACCCTACAAAGAACAATCCTAATGTTACTCTTTGCATCTTTACCAATTGGGTTCCTATGGCTTAACCTTGAGCCAATCATGCTTAAGCTTCATCAAGACCCTGAAATCACACGTGTTGCTAGTTTATACTGTCGATATGCTGCCCCTGATCTTATTGTTAATAGCTTTTTATACCCTTTACGGATCTTTTTAAGAAGTAAAGGGGCAACATGGTCATTAATGTGGTGTACTTTAATTTCAACACTTGTACATTTTCCTATCACCAACACTTTGGCATTCACCCTTCACTTAGGGGTTCAAGGGGTTGCGATTTCCACCTTTCTCACAAACTTAAGTACATCGGTTCTCATTCTAGGCTACATGTCTTTTACCCATAATACCCCTAAGGAGACTTTATGTGAACCAAATGTAAAAGAGTCTGGGGAGGGGTGGGGTGTGCTATTTAAGCTTGCTATTTCAAGTTGTTTAGCGGTTTGTTTGGAGTGGTGGTGGTATGAGTTTATGACTATTTTAGCTGGTTATCTTCATAAACCACATGTTACACTTGCTACATCTGCTATAGTGATTCAGACAACTTCTCTTATGTACACATTGCCTTCAGCACTTAGCATGTCGATATCAACAAGAGTAGGGAATGAACTTGGAGCGGGTCAACCGGGTAAGGCCCATTTGGCGACACTTGTCGCGATAGGATTGGCAGTTTTGACTTCAGTTTTTGGGTTGTTGGGGAGTACTTTAGGAAGAGAAGCATGGGGGAAAGTTTTCACAAAGGATAATGAAGTTTTAAAGCTCACAATGACTGTTTTGCCCATAATTGGAGTATGTGAGTTAGCTAACTGCCCACAAACAACATGTTCTGGTGTTCTTCGTGGAAGTGCAAGGCCTTCAAATGGTGCAAGGATTAATCTTTGTTCTTTTTATTTGGTGGGGACACCAGTAGCCATTATTTTAGCTTTTGTGTGGAAATTTGAGTTTTTGGGGCTTTGTTATGGGCTTTTAGCAGCACAGGTGGCATGTTTGGTGTCAATTTTGACTGTGGTGTACAGGACAGATTGGGAAGAAGAGTCAAAGAATGCAAGAAAGTTGGTGGGAGGAAGAAGTGAATGCATATATGAAGGTCAAATTATGGAATGTGAGCAAGGAATTGGGTTTATATAAAGTGACAGATATTGAGAAGGGAATACACGTTTATGTTTAAAGATTATGGTATTGGATAACCATGAAAATAAACTGTCATACAATATATGGTATGTGCTCTCATTAAATATGTATCAACATTTTCTGAGCATATCTCTTCTTTCTGTCTTTAACTACATGTATATAGACAAAGGGGAAAATATGTATCTTGATGTTGTTACAGAAAAGGGAAGAAATTGTTTTCTATCTATTCGAAAGGTCTGTTGAAGAACCATGAAAAAAGATTTAAATTCTTTAGGAAAATAAAGTTCAATTTAATGTCTATATACTACATAGTATATATATGGCATATCGTTAAATAAAAATATGAATTCTTTTTAGCAAAATCAAGTGTTTGAATTTTACAAGTATTCAATTTTTTCACAAATATGTTTTAGAAAAAAAGTCTTGGAGCTTTTTGATTATCAGATGAGTGGAAATGGAGTCAGCTGTAATAAAAAAGTCTTGGAGCTTTTTGATTATCAGATTAGTGTACGTTTATAGATTGTTAAAACTTGGAGGTCAAATGAAAAAGAATGAAGGGCTCCTGACTCACCTTTTCTTCTTGTAAAAAGATGTATAGATCAAATGCATGAGGTTTCCCCACATGTGAAGAATTGTTCCTAGAATTAAAACGAAGCAGCAAGATATCGTAATGAACAACTTGTACCTTGCTGAATTTGCAAAATCATCTCTGCTACAATGAATTTGAATGAGATTAATGACCTTCAAACATTGCACACTTTCAACTTCTCCTCAATGAGATCATCAAATTTCCGTCCCTCGATCGACAAAAATGGAACCCTAGAGAGAAAATTGAAGAGAGAAACGTATCCTAAAACCATCAGTAGGTTAAATTATACATAATTCCACCCCTTTTGTAGAACTTTATCACAACTGACCAACTTACCAACTAATCAAAAGTCAAAAGTCAAAACTCACTACATGTCAATGAAATGGTGATCAACATGTAAATCATGATTTTCTGTGTGTACGAGAGAGATCGAGAAAGAGATAGGTGGAGGGCAATACGGGTTACCTGTGCCCACAATTCCACATCATGACCACATGCACATATGAACCGGTCTGAACCGGTCTACAAAATTACCTATTTAAGTATTAACAGTTTGGGCTTCAGGCCCAATAAAATCATACTGAAATGTGGGTTTTGAGAAAACATTGATTTGTTATTCATTACATGATATTATTCCATACATATCACAAAAAGTTTTGTGATTTATGATATAATGCATTTAAATTTTAAATCATAATGGAAAACAATTGAAAATGATGAAAGAAGATATAGAAAGTTACATAGCACCTGCCTGATGCCTCGTTAAGTTCTTTTTAGACGTGATATGTCTTACAACTTTCAGAATGTTGACATGTTTTATACATAAAATTAAATAAATTTATTGGTCATTTTCATTAAAGTCGGTACAGTCTAACCTTTTTACGAGTAAGTCTTATTTTTTTAGAAAAAAAAGCCTAAAAGACTTCAGTTGTATTCGAATTTGGTTAATTACTCATGTGGCAAATGAAATCTTTAATAAAGTCTCTATAGTTTGACCTTATTTACGATGAAGGTCAAGGTTTTTTTAACAATAAAACTCAAAAGAATTGCAATTGTATTCAATTTTAGGAATTACCTGATAACCATCTCTTTCTAGTGACATTGCTGACGTGGAGTTTGTGTGGATATGTTACATGCTTAGTTGGCATTTTTGGACTTAAATATAGACCAGCACAAAAAGATTGTCTCAGACCCAAAAAAATGTTGAAACCAAACCAGTCTAAAACGAGACCGGACCGAAAAAAGACCGGTCCTAAAAAAACCGTCCCGAGACCATCCCCGAACCAGTCTGAAAAAGACTGGACCGATCCGAGACCGAACGAGACCGGTCTGGAAAAAAAGATCGGTAACCAAACTTTATAAATATTTAACTTTTGTGTTAATTATACAATTTTTAATCACAAACTATTTAATTTATTTCATTTTTTTTCTTTTGTTAAATTAAAATTATCATTTTTAATAAATCTTAATTTATCATTTTGGTGATAATCTCATATTTGATAATGGAAAAAACTCGAAACCAAAACAAAAGAATCGAAAAATACCGAAACCGAACAAAAAAAAACCCGTAAATCAAACCGAAAAAGGCGCACGAAAAGACTGAGAGACGAGACTGAAAAAGACCGGTCCAAAAAAATACCGGACCGAGAAAGACCGGTCCGAAAAAAGACAAGATCGGAAAAAGACCGAACGGGACCGGTCCGAAAAAAGACTGGACTGTTCCGAGACCGACCGAAGACTAGCAGCTTTAACCCCCCCCCCCCCCCCCCCCAAAAAAAAAAATTCTTTTGAAATCAATAGTTTCGTCTTCTTCAACCACCTTAGCTTTGCAAGGTGTTAGTTTTAGGTGCAATTCTAGAGATCACAGTGGTATTTGGACTTCTTGGACTCCAAAGAACCGATACAGATTCATAAGTTGTCCTCATTTCATAAGTAGAGTTACTTAAAATTCCTATTTCCTATTACTAACTTATGTTTAGGTTATAAAAGTAAGAAATCTTCATAAATATTGTAAATTTCTATAATGTAAGATGAAAAGAGAGACTATAAGGCTAAAGGGAGTGGTGGCACTCCTAACACCCTGCCACATCATTTTTTTGCTGCCATGTCATTTTTTGGCATGCCACATTGCTAACATCTTTTTCTTAACATTTTATAGGGAGTGGTAGCACCCCTAGCATTCCTTGATTTTTTTTATAATTTTTTTACCAAAATTAAATAAATTATATTTTTTAATACACAAACATTTAATATTAAATAAATTATATTTTTATAAAACATAAAAATTTAACATTAAATAAAAAGGTTTCTATTTTTGGACAAAAAATACTAAGTGGTTGAAACTTTGGGGACCAAATGTGTAACTTTTTTATTTCTTCCTCAATAATTCGAACGCATCTTCTTCCCCAATTCTCTTTCCCCAATTCTCTAAACGAAGCGCAGCAAAAGCAAAAATTGAACAATCAAACCATTGAAAAAAAATAAAAAATAAAGCCAGCAGCCAATGATTTCCCTTTCTTTCCTCTTGCTCTTTCTCTTTCTTCTCGCTGCCTGGCTAGCGAGGTCTCTTTGGCGAGTGACCTAGCGACTTCAATGGGAATGGTGGAGACGAGGCTAGCGAGCCACTCCCTCCGGCCTAAGTTTTTTCTTTGCATTTATCCACCATTGTCCAACAAGTGGTATAAATACAAGATATTGGAAATGCATAATCTTGCAAATGGTGGGTTAATCCACCACCATTTGCAAGATTATGTGTTTACAAGTAGAGCTTATACAATAACTCGAAACACTTTATGTACGAAATTAAGGTTTAAAAGAAAGGTTTTCCAATAAAAGGTCTCTCTCCTATGTTTAAATGTTTAAAGAGAATGACTAGGGTTATGAATATTCATTGTGATTGAAGGATTAAATTCTTACCATAACTAGTTATACCTTATAAAAAATGTTGATGTTTCCCATGCTTTATATGTCGATCCATTGATGACATAGTGTAAATAAATACTTTGTGATTTCGTCAGTCATATAAAGATAGAAAAATAGGTTATATGTGTTGATGATTTTGATGTCACCGGTCATTTTGGTTAACATGAATTATACTTGTCAAATGAATTATAGCAACTTGTATGCCTTGTTACAACCCCTAATTTCTAACAATATGGAAAGAAAAATAATTGTGCAAATGTATAACATTTGTCTAAACTATTTTATGAAGAAAATACCCGTTACTATATATTCTTTCTTATGAAAATAACAAATGTTTTATTTAACTATTTGTCTAAACTATTTTATGATGAAGATAACAAATGTTAAATAAAACATTTGTTATTTTTAATTATTTGTCTAAACATTTTCCTATATAACATGTTCCTATATATTCTGGCATGAAAATAATAAATGTTATTTTTAATTAACACTTTGATAGCTTTAACAAGTGTTGATTAGATTCACAATTCTCTCTTGAATTTGAATTCTTAGACTCAAGGGAGTGGAGTCGGCATTTGCAGGCCTAGGTGGCATACACCATCACATGACGATGGCATGCCGAGTTACATAACATCAAATGGTATTTTAGTGACGAGGAGAGAATGTGTGAGGGTTAGACTATTTTATGATGAAGAAAATACATATTACTATATATTCTGTCATGAAAATAACAAATGTTATATTTAACTCACTTTATAGCTTTAACAAGTGTTAATAAGATTCACAAGTCTTTCTTGAATTTGAATTCTTAGACTCAATGGAGTGGAGTCGACATTTGCATGGCATGGGTGTCATACACCGTCCGTCCCCTAACGGTGGCATGCCGAGTTACATAACATCAAATCGCATTTTAGTGACCAGGAGAGAGCGTGTGTGAAGGTTAGGCTATTTCTTTTTTTTTTCAAATTTTTGTTCAAAATTTACCAAAACGTTGATGTCTTATGTCTTATAGCAAAATTTACCACCTAAAAATGACATGTCATTCATGTCTTATGGCAAAAGTGATGTGGCGGTGACGTAGCTACCAAAACGTTGATGTGGCGTCATGGCATGCCATGCACCACTCCCTCAAGCCTTATAAGTTCTTTATGTTACATGGAACCCGACTGGATTGGACATGACTCAACCCGACTGGATTAGACTGGACTAGACAAACTTTTAGTAGGGCATGTACAAATTTCCCTATTACATCGGTCGCAGTCCAAATCCAATACATGCCAAACACAGTACAAGTTGTCTTAATACATAATTGCCCAACTACAAAAAGTGTAAAAGTGGAGAATTCATGGTGGGCAACCAATCGCTATCTTAGTCATTCAAAACATGCTATTGATGGGCTTTTAAAAGTAAGAGAAAATAACACCAGAACAGAAGACATAGGAGACAATCAAATGTATTATAAAAGCACTCAAACACAACAATAAGTCCACACTAATATACAAACACCACAAGCATATTCAAATTCTATTGGTTTTTCGAGTACATACATGTCCAAGAAGCACCACCAGTCACCACCACCACCATTAAAGCATGCTAACCAGATTTGAACAGCAACACTGCTTTCGATTCCAAATAGAAATAAACAAAATGATTCGTCTCATGAGTCACATAAGAACCTACAAAATCAAAACCAAAACTATATGTTATCAGATGTTTACATATGCATATATCAATACAAACGTGATACTAACATTGAGCTTGCTATGAAAGCCTTGATAAACACTAGAATAATCTTACTAAAACCCATTCTTACTTTGATATGTATATGTTTTCCTTGAACAAATGTTTGCAGGTATATATCACATACATCATTCCTGTTTTTACCCCACTACAGTCCATTGAAATTGAAACTTTGCAAGGCACTGGTTTAAACCTAGATCAGTAGATCTTAGATGCAAAATCAAATCCAAAATCAAACTCTACTACGATCAAAGTTCACAGATGATTAACGACAATCCAATTCATAATAAATCAAAAGCAAGCAATTTCTATATGAAGGTTCTTAATAGGTAATCAAAATCCGATATAATGATGAGTTAATCTAATAAAATAAGAAATTACCGAAGTTTTTGCCGACGATACAGTGCCAAGTAGGACCATGATTCTTATCAAACTCCTTCTTTATCTGTTCTGCCACATCCTTCTCCACACTGCAATTCTCAAACGCCTGCACACGCGTAACCGAAACTCCGGTTATAATGAAAGAGAATTTCATAGAGAGTGAAGTAAAGAGAAAGGAATCGCGAAGTCGGGCGTTCAAGCCACGGAACAAATACAGTCAATTGAAAGAAGAGGAAGGCTGATAATTTACGGAAATGGCGATATTCACGGCTTCGTTTTGCATTTCTTCCTTCATATCGGCACTCTTGATGACGACTTTCCTGCTGCTGGAAGAAGAGGTCGATAACGAAGATGCGGGGGTTTTCCGATCTTCCGCCGTATACGGCGGCTTAGCCGGAAAGGTACCAGTGGCCGGAGATCTCTTCCCCTCTTCGCTCATCTCTGCAAAATTCTGGCTAGTGAGTGGGTGAGAGCGAGTATAGATGTTTGGAACTTTCTTTTGTGGGGGTGTTTGGGTGTTCGGATTACACAAAATAATTTTTGCTTAAGGTGTTTGGGATTTGCTTATTCATCGTCTTTATTTATTTTATTATTATTATTATTATTATTATTTTTTGAGAAAAATGCAAAAAAGGTTTTGTGAAAGTTGTTATTTTGCCCAAAATATTTTGTTCTAATAAAAAAGAATTTATTTTTTTTGCAATTTGATCCAGAAATTTTTGAAAATATTTAAAATTGTGGATTTGTCCTTGATATTTTTTTTACATTTTTATTTAGTTTAACATTTTTCTAATTAAAAAAGAACAAAAAAAATTACTCATACCTAGACCTACTTAACTATTATCTTTAACACATTATACCTTCTTCCCTTATCTATGTCATCTTCATTGTCTGACGGTTGACAAACCAGTCATCGGAAATTTAGAATGATTTAGCGGCGACAATCTACAAACACCATTAGAGATCTACAAACCTCTTGGAGCAGTCACCTCCCCCCCCCCCCCCCCCTACCCCTTCCAACCCCACCAACTCATCATCATCAATGGAGTTCAACAAACAAAAGGATCTCTGCAAACATAACGAGTTTGGAAAGGAGGTAGAAACATGGCGACTCCAAACGAGCTACAGATATGGGTTACAACGTCGGCTTTGTCTCTCTCCTTTTTTGATGAGCTAGCGTTTGTTAGAGTTTGCAGATCTGACACCGATGGTGGATATCTTCGACGGATGAAGAGATAGAAATGATGTTTGTGTGTGTTAGTTTGTGGATGGGGTCATTAAGGGTGGGGTTACATTTTTCTTTTTTGTTTTATGTTTAATTTTTAATAAAAAATAATAAAATTAATAAAAAAATAGGAAAAGAAAATAAAATGGGAAAATATGTCATTTGATGTATTTTCAAAAGAAATTAGACCAAAACCACTATAAAATTTCCATTTTGGACTGATAGTGTTAGATAAAAAAAAATTAAACCAAAGTAATAATTTTTGACAAATCATAAGGACTATTTTCGCAATTTTTTTAAAAGCAATTTAAGATTTTAATATACTTCTAAACTAATTATATGTCATTTATGTCAGTCGACCTAAAAATATAATTTTTAGAAATGACATATAATATGGTTGTGCTAAAAGTTCTTTTATCTTTATTTCTTTATTATAGTTATATATTGATAATAAAATTTTCATTTAAATGTTTAGATATAATAAAAGCAAAAAGTATATATATATATATATATATATATATATATATATATATATATATATATATATATATATATATATATATATATATATATGGGTGTTCAAAAATATCCGTATCCGAAATTCCGATCCGAAATCCCGAATCCGAATTATCCAAAAAATCGGATATCCGATTTTTCAGAATCGGAATTGGATAGCGTTTTTTAGATTTTTCAGATAATTCGGATATCCGATATCTGAAAATTTTGATTTTAATTTATACATTACTTGTTATTTTAATCACATATGTCTTATAATATGAATGTTAGTAAACTAAAACATATTCATAATACCCTTAATTAAATACTTATATTACTTAATATGCCTTTCTAATTTAAAAACTTCATATAACTTTCAAATTTGAACAAAATTTTAAATTTTCGGATATCCGTTTTGGTATCCGAAATTTCGGATACGGAATCAGATACCAAAAATCAACTATCCGAAATTTCGGATATCCGGTCATGAACACCCCTATATATAAATGTTTATAAACTTCTAAATCAATTTATCATATTAGTAATATTTTAATTAGAATTTTATAGTATTTTTTTAATGGTAAACTCATAAAGATTTATTATTTTAAATATATCAGTTTTCCATGAACATTTATCTAGATCATCCACCACATAATAACTTTTTCACAAAAAAAATTTGGCATCACGACATTGTTAAATCACAAATCCAAAAGGTTTACAAACACCTACTGTATAAAAGTTTTTCATATTTTTCCGTTGTCACAATATCAATCATATAAGCATTTGTAACAAAAAAGAATTGGATAAAATAATATTAGCTTATGAAAAACCTCTAACCTTGAGCTTGTTAACTAACAAGCTTCATGAAAAAATTTGCTTTAAGAAAGCTCCCTCAGCAGGTTTTTGAAATCTTGAAGCCTTTTCCGTGGAAAAAGCTTTCAACAATCTCATATTGTGGATACTGTTATATTATTAGTTTTCAAAGTTACAAAGGATTACGAATGCTCGGCTTTTAAAGCAGAGATACGAAGGCATGATTTAAGGAACATTAAAGAAACACATTGCATTATCAAGTATCTATAAGTTTGATCTTTGATTTTTAATATTTGTCGATATTGATTATTACACACATTGTAAGATCAAGTAATTATATGAGAATTAAACATTATACATAATGCTGAATGTTACACACAACACAAAAGATGGCATCTTGTTCAAGGAAAAAAATAACAATATTGAGAATGACCATGATAGTGATTCGACATATAAACGTTGATGTTAATGTATATGGGTACATAATAGGGATGTATATGGGTACATAATAGGTCAGGGGCGAGTTTGGTGTATGTTTTACGGAGGGTGTGGCGTCAGTGGCAGTTTTGTTCGGTGTCCTGGTGTGGCACCGGCAACACCTACTTTCATGTATGCAGTGGAAAAAATTTCGATTTTTTACCTATTTTTCATGCACCAGCAACACTTACTTCAACATCGGCAACACCTAGTATGTATTTCTGCGTCTGTCCCTATGTGTCGTACCCTTTTTTACCAACTCGTTGACCGTAATCAATGTCTATTGCTCAAGATAAGGTGTCAATAGGCTAGAAAAAAAAACTAAACCAAAAGGCCAAGCTTAAAGCCAAATTCGATCGACTAGCTTTTTGCAATGTATCCAAAATACCATATACGCATTTTACTACACTTAATGGTTGCAACTATGGAAGTTTTTTTGAATTGATTCTTAACTTCTTGTTACCTATTATTGCAGGTTTATAGATTACTTAATTTTGTTTTTTTATATACAAATTTAGCTAAATTTGTTGAAATTCGTTCAAATTTTTTACAAATTTGTCCAAATTATTTTTGCAATTTTGTTTTTACATGTTTTTTTTCTACAAAACTAGTTTTTTACAACTTTTTCAAAAAAAAACACACACACACACAACCTGATGAAATAGCTTTATGGAATTTTAGCAATCTAACATCTCCTTTGTATATTCGGACGTTTGCATTTTATCCAAATGGTTGAACCGTAGGTTTTTAGATTTTAGTAGTTGGCACAACCATTTTTTGACCTAAACTTATTTTTGTTTCCTTCTTATGGCATCCTTCTGCAACTTTGTAGTTTTTACACAACTTTTTTGCCAACTTCCAAATATCACAATTCACACAAATACTATGCTCCTTTTTCTATTCTAAACACGTATCATCTTCAAATTGTAATAAAATATATCACCAAAAACATTACCAATATGTAAGTGATTACCTTATTGTGAGATTGTATGTGATGTGTGTTGAGTTCGTAAAGTCAGGTTTGTATAATGCAAGTGATGGACACATATAAAATGATTGATGTAGAAAACAATTGGAGCAAAAAGTCATAAACAGGTCCGGTTCCGAAGATTTAAATATCTTCAAATGCCCTAGACGAATCAGAAAAAATGATCATTTATCATTGTTATAAGTTTTTTATTTTTAAATAAATAAATATTTATATATAATACAGTAAAAATTTGGCCCTAAAAAAAATTAGGCCCTATACAGCTGCCCACTTTGCATCTCCCTCAACGCCCTCAATGGTCATAAAAAAAATAAAAAACTTATTTTGTAAACTAATATTTAAAAAGATGTGAATATATATATATATATATATATATATATATATATATATATATATATATATATATATATATATATTGCAAATTTCTAAAAAAAAAAACGATTAAAACAAGTTAGTAACAAAAATTAAAATTTTGATAAAAAATTATAAGTAAACAAAATTACTATAGAATTAATTTAAGACAATATTAATATACTCTATTAATTAACATGGAGGTTAGCAACATTGTAGTTCTTGGTTATTTCATATTAGTCACCAACAATGTAGTTCTTATGTAATTCTTGGTTATTCCATATTACTCACCATTTTTTTACTGTTCGTGCTATTTACTCCCATATGTTGTATGTTTCAAGATTTGCCGCATAACTTTGTATAGTTTGATAATTTTAGTCTATATTTTGTATGTTTTAAAATTTTGCCACAATACTTTATATAGTTTGACAGTTTTAGTCCCTGACATGTAGTAAATATAGATTGGCCCATATCTTTTAATGTTTGTCACTTTAAGTCCCACTATTTTCTATGTTTCAAGATTTTGCCACAATATTTTCTATAGTTTGACAATTTTAATAAGTCCCACTATTTTCTATGTTTCAAGATTTTGCCACAATATTTTCTATAGTTTGACAATTTTAATCCATGGCATGTTGTAATTAGAAATTGGTCACGTATCTTTTAATATTTGTCACTTTAATTCCCTTTGACCATTTTGGCCTTTTTTTTATCCTTTTTTTCATCTTATTTGGCCACACGTGTTTTAACATTTCTCACTTTCAGTCCCTTTGACCATTTTGACATTCCTTTTGTCAATTTTCCGTCTACCAATTTGTGCTTCCGTTTTGACTTCTTTTTGTCATCGTTTTCTCATCTGTAAATAAAATAAAACACATTTCAGTAACATCGGGTTCAATAAACGTACAAAAACAGTTACAAGGGTGACCCGTGGTTCACCACGGGCTCACCCTCTTAGTTCTTGATTAAAGCATCACCATATAATTTATAAAATAATATTTTAAATATATGAAATTAACTAATCGGCCAAACTTGACCAAAACTCCAAAAGACAAAAGCCAATAATAATTTGTGTGGCAAAGATGACGGCTCTATAGTCTATGCTGTATAATTGGTTTTAATGGGTTTGCCTTAAAATAAATAGCCATTAATATGGTTTGGGCCGGATTTGCACCCTAACA